ATTTTTTCCTAGTGTAGGTGTAATGTATTTAACCATTAAAATGTTTTCAATATCATTTCATTTTTTTACACAGGGTGCATGTAAGTTTTTGTCGTTTTAATTGACGTATTTCAGAACTAACTATGAATCAAGTTGAAATGATTCATCAATTATATCGTCTAAGCGTTATTTAGTAGCAAAAATGTATGCAATCCGATAATGAAGCGCTTTGATTTCTTATAAGGAAATATTTTATTGTTTTAGAATAACAAACATTAAAAATATGTGGCTGAAGCTATAGATGGCTTACCTAGGTATCTCATTCATGACCACCGGATTACAAATAGATAAATAAAACAAAAATCCACTGTGTAACAAAGTATTGTTTCCCGGACGCAAATGTAAAAGTGTGTGTAGGGGTGTTGCGTAACACTAGCAATCTAATTTATGAAATCGTTGTATCATTTATCTGTTCATAGTATCAATAGCACAGATTAACTGTTTCTAATAGGTAAAAGTGATGTATTTAATGAATCCCACTGTAATCAATGGAGATGTTGCCCTTACAGATTCTTCTTTGAACATACTCTAGTAATCCGAGTTACAAGTTTTCTGCTTTTTTGGTTTATGTCGAGAGAGACACTGTTATTTCTTTTACCTCTAAAGACCATTGTCAAGCAGTTTTACTAGAAACGAGCTAGAGTCAAGTTCGTAAGGATAACAACAAATAAACGTACAAGACATAAACACACCTATTAATAATATGTGTTCATATTTAAACATAAACGTCTCAGTACTGCCAAGAATCATTTACTTTTCCTTCAAAGTCGTAGTTATTAACATTTAAGTAAAAAGAACACAAAAATATGTTATACGAACCTTTTTATATATATATATATATACATCCTTTAGATATTGATATTGAACAGCAAATAATAATACATGTTAATCCTTAATGCTACTTAGATTTGTTTGGGGCATTTAATAAATTAATTAAAGCATAATTTATATCAGAAAATTTAGAAACAAATAAATGAGTTGCTTTTTCTCTTCATCGAGGAACCATTAATAAAATACCCCCCCAAAAAAAAATACTTGGGCCTGAATTCATAAGCGAGGTAGCTTATATTACCGGAGCAATCATACCTTGAATATTAATACTGTTGCTTCATCTCGTTTGCAAGGGTCATAAAAGAGCTGCACGATGTCTTTGTTTTAAAACATCTACGGTCTATTGACCAACCGCTTATTATTTAAGTTATGTGTGTTGTATAATCTTACCTTACCTCTTTTCTATGCATATATTTTTATGTGTATTCATTTGGGCATCAACTAATTCAATTGAAACATCCCTTTTAACAGTTAAAAATAATTGAATAAGTAACCCTGAATTTATATTATAATTAGCTCTCTTCTTTGGGCTAAGTATTATAGGAACATTGATTACCACATCAATAAACCAATGCAAAAGATCTGTGTTGATTCTGAATTTCATAAGAGATGTAGCTGATGTAACCGTCGTAACCATACCAATAATCTAAATACAAATGCTCCAATTTAACTCGCTAAATGGCTACATGATGTTTTATTGCTTGCTTTGAAACAAAGTTTTCACCAATAGCTCCTTTTTTTATTTGTGTTTCTTATCATTGCTAAAATATTTCTCATCCTGAAATATTTCTCATCCTGTTGTAAGGTTATTTGAATTATTATAGTTGCATTAACTGTTTGTGATATACACGAGGTCAAATAAAATTGTATAAAAAGAGATAACATGCAGCAATGCCGCTCATTTATTAATTCTAATTTGTTACAGCAATCTAAAAGTGTTTTTCTTATTTATTACAGTTTCAACAAGGCAACCCACAAGAAATATCAATTGCTTTTGCCTAAATATGTCAATTTATAATCTCGATGGAGTAAAGGTGAATACATGTTTTATGAATCTTTGTCGAACACATGTAATATCCTTTATATGTTAGTCGATGTTGTTCTGTACTTGACTGAACTTTCAGATTGATAGTATTCTGTCAGACGTTTTTACCTATTTTTTGTTTTTATCTTTAAAATTTTCTTCTTTTGGAAAATCATATTAATTAGCTGATTACCCAAACTGCAAAATATTTGAGCACATTGTAATGTGGTTGTTTCTTCTTCTCTCTTTACATACGTCCTGTAAGCATTTTCCTTTTCAAACCTCCAGAAGGAATAATCTTTAGATCGTATATCTTTATATGTATAGTACTGAAGACATATAGATGGCACCTATTGATTTAAAGATCTCTAGGTCAAAGACACCAAACAACCGCGTCTTATCATTTTCTTGAGAAAAATAAGCCTATATATTACTTGGTAGGAATGTTACATATGACTGTTCAGTTAATGACCCCTACGGATTTTGAAATTATTATTTTAAAAGTCAAAGTCACAGGGAATATAATCCTTGCCCAAAAAGTCACTTTAGAAGAAATAAGCCATGCTTACTATTTCGGTTTTTTTTTTGGTTTTTATTGGTAACATTAGTGTCCAGTTGACACGCTTCTAATGTATATATAAACAATGTAGTTAATTATGGTGCCAATGAATCAAACACGTGTTATTGTGTTGTTTGTTTTAATTAAGCGCTTATTATAATATTATCATTATTATCAGTGGTGAGCTTGATTTTCAATTTTTCAGTTGTAGCAGTTTTTGTAGGGATTTCGATTATTTTTTGAATTTCTAAACACAGGCCTTTGAATTGTCTTTAAAAAAAGGAATCAATTTAATTTGTTACTCTTACAAATCATTTGAATTATTTGTATATACTTAGATCCTTGTAAAAAGCAATTACATTTGTTGGAGATATCCCCGGATCGCCATTGATGATAATTTATAGATGTTAACCATCATTGTTTATTTAAAAACAGAAATTGCAACCTTATTCGATGACTATTACAATGTCTGTGTATTGTATCACTAGTATAATGTTATATCACAGAGCTTTTCTAATAAATTATGACAAAATAGCCGGCGAAGTATTTAAGTGCCTTATAGTGCAGTTATATATATTAATGAAACTAATGTCCTCTAATGTATCTAAGCATAGCAGGCTGGAAAATCAGAGGCTTCTAAATTTTAAATTTAAATGGTACTGACTATGTCAAGTAGGTGTGAAGCTATATGCCATGGTACGTTAGTCAAAGTCATATATTAAATGTTTTATCACATACTTCTAAAGTGTACTACATTGCAATGTAAAAATGGAAAACTAAGAACAACAATAGAGAGAAACGTTTCTTACAGTCAATGTTTAATCACATAGATTTCATGCCAAAACATGTCAAATCAAATTCATTGTATCTGAAATAATGCATACGTAATGACCATGTTGATATAACTTTGTTATATTTTAGAAATCAAGTAATTTCTATCAAATCTCCAAGGTTTCCCATATATTCGTTTTGTATCTTCTTTCATATTGAAAAAGAGGTACATCGAAAAACTAGATACTAAACATCTGAGAGCTACTTGTGAAAATTGACCACAATTATAACGAAATCCATTTGTCGTTTATTTTAAAAGAAAACTACTGTGTTTTTATGAACAAGGTCAAGTACTCATAGTATAGTATGTTTGTTTAATATCTGCATTGATATGTTTATTGTGAACATGGGATGGCAGAAACATTACTCATCAAACAAAACATACTTTGTGTAATATTTGTGTAATATCGTCACTATGAAGTCATTTAATGTTTTAGAAATACATTTCAGTTCTTCTCGTACCTTTTTTTACAAATGAAACTATGCAGCACATTTACCTTTTGTTTGATGTTGATTTATTTCTATTTAGATAAACTATATTTGCCTTTTATAAAAAAAATACCTGGGAAAACCCTCAATTCATACTATTTGGAACAGAAAACAACACTTGGGTAAACTAGTTGTTGTATTTACATAACCACGGCATGTTGTTTGTGATTCTTAACAAATAAATATGTGATGATATCAAGTGACAATATCCAGTTATGATACCCTCGGAGAAGGTCAATGATTGTTTAGATAAAATTCGAAAATGATGAAAATTTGCAAATATAATATGAGAAGACAATTTATTAATAAGTTTGTCGTTTACAAATTTCAAAGTTGTTTCACGGCATATAGATTTATTTTTATTCATTTAAATGAAATGTGTAAGCTTTTGAATTATTCTTTGGATAAGCAATATGATCTCAAATAACTGTGTTCAAATGATGCATTGGACATTATTTTTTATCTCAGCCATGTCAAACAAAACACCCTTAAATAAGACCACCATCGTGACTGGATCAAAGTGGACTTTATTGCAGGTTGACCTAATTTCTTGATCACATAGCCATTGACAAATAACAGAGAATATTTTGTTATTTAAAAAGAATGATCATATTTGCGACATGGTCCCAATTCAGGGGTGGTCTTTAGTAAGGAATCTACTGTAGATATATTAATCAGAATTAATTTAATGCGCTACAAATCGCGCAAGGGGGAATATCAAACAAACGAATGTATTTTAATAGCTTGAATAGTACCAATAAAACTTTTTAATTCAGGACGAATAGCTGCAAACATAAACATTATTATAAAGACGCATTAGTGAGAACGCATCTTTTGAGTTCCATCTGGAAAATCATAAGCACATCACTTCTTAACTGGAAGATGATTCCAAATCTTCTCCAGAGATATTCTTTTAAACTATAAAGGAGCATTTATACTCAAATAATTCAGAAAAGTTTTCATACAGACTTAAAACAGTAACAACGAAAACTTCAGCAAGCAGTCACTAGCATGTAAGCTGCAATGTATGCAAGCTCTATCGTCCACGCTCCTGCCACTTGTTCTAGTAGACATACCTTAAATCAAGGAACAATTACATTATAACTTTACAAAATTGTTAGCTTAACCCTTAATTGTAGTCATATACTTAACCCTTGATTTCAAATGCTGATATAGTAATCAGTATTTCATAAACTGTGAAGTTATAACAAAACACATTCAATATTTTCAAATGTTTATTAAGCAGATGTCTTTTATCGTTATCATAGTAGCAGTTGTTCAATAGTTATTCTGTTGATTTGAAATGTTGAAGATAGTTTTGAATTGAACACTATATAACATATATCAAAGTGTAAAAAACATATTCCAATCATTGAAGAGAACTGCATTTAGTGTCTGAACCTAAGATGATCCTTTCATGAGTAATATATGTACACATAATCACATAGCCTTTGTTAGGAGTGTTATACTATATAAATTTATAATACTTATATGATCATTACGCAGCTTAATCATTAAATCACACTTATAAAATTGTAATGGAAATAGGCGATTTTCAAATCGAATAAGAAGTTCATACAACTGTTTATAATTTAACGACTTATTGACATGCAAAGCTTTACAAGTACTAAAAGGAATAATCCACATCTAGATATCACTCAATACCAACATTGGCCAGTTTCAGTCAAAAGTATTTTAACATTTAACTGAAACCAAATTCATATGAAAACATTATATTTACTCATTATTTTTTACTAGGATATAACATTTGAGATGATTTTTGTATCCAGACAGATAATGATAACCAACGCGAAAGTCAAGACTTAACAAGTAGCAAAATAGTTATATATTGGAGTCATATAAAGGTTGGAAATATGAATTTATTTTTTTGATGACAATATTGTGAGAACTATGATATATTATAAACCAATACAAAGCATGCAATAAACTTTCGTATCAATAAAATGGCATTATATTTTTCTTTGCTTTTCTAACCTATCGGAAATTCAAGATTAAATTCCACTCAAAAGCCAATGAGTTATACTGAAAATAACCGATATTTAATTTGATCTCAACTCTGATTCAACATAAGATCGTTTATTGTTTTAAAGATGGTTGATGTGTGTGCTTCTAACGCCATTTATGTTACGAAAGTATTGATATCATATAAAAGACATATTATTGATTGTCTGATTGTCTGGAAAGTAAGTTCCACGTTTTACATATTAATACTTAAACACTCTCTGCTTATCATAGGAAGAACGTCCACAAATATTTTAAATGTGTCTCTTAAAATCGTAAGCTAGTAAGAAAACTGCTAATTAAAAGATTTCAAGACGAAGAACAGCAAAAATGCCATCCATCCTGTTTTGAAAGAGTTGGCTGAAAGGGAAAATATAAAATTAAATGTTCAAGTGAGCTGTAATCCGTTGCGCGCGTACGTGCGTGTGTGCTTGAATATTAAATACAATCTTTTAGTGATCGCGTACAAAATTATAAACAATAACATGATTATCCCTTTTAACACTAAATGCAATAAAATATATAAAATCTAGTTTAAGCGTTTAAACTTTTAACATTATTATTATTCAGCAGAATTTTATTCTTTTAAATTCACTACTATAATTTGTACACGCACGTGATGGATTGCCGTAAGCTTATAGAGTAGCATAACGTATCTAATCATAGTTTCCATTACCATTGTTGCCAACGCATTCGTCAACTTTCATTGTAAAGCCAGGACTACACGTGCATTTTCCAGCATCTGCATCACAAATAGAATTGCTTATGTCTTTACAACCATCATCAGTATCAGAACACGGTGTACCTTTTACAGCTGTAACGATGTGCAATATACGAGTTACATAGTTGTTGTGTGTGCTTTAATGTTGATGAAATAGAATTAAAAACATTCTCTAATTTCATTTTTTATTCAAGGTTATTGGCCTAAACTTATATCAAGAAGCAAATAACTTTAAGTATTTTATTTAAACGCAGGTGTGAATTATTTGAATTGTCCAAACTTCTTCATTCCCTGACGCAACACGTACGCAACCATTCTACAGTGAGACGACCAACTCTCCTTAACTAAAAAAAATGGTTAGTCATACATGACTGAGCTGTAACAATAAAACCGTAAATTTGACACTAGTCCTAAAGCATGTAAAGTCTACACTAACAGCAAAACTTACTGAGAATACAGTCATTTTCCTTTTCCTCATGGTCAGTTTTACAAACGCACTTTGAGTCGTCGCATACTGAATCCACAACACCTGGACAAGCGCTATTTCCAGAACAACTACTTTCAAGCGCTTAGTAATAAAAATGAGTAACAAAGTTTTAATGATATGGCTAAGCCTAAGAATGTTAGTTAAAGATGGATTTTGTCTTAAGAACCTAAATTCAAGAACTAAAGTCATATTCCTTTTTTAAGTTTACTGTGTGTACATGGATAGCTCTTATATCTGTTTCAATAAAGAATTGAAGATAAACGTAATTCTGAAGCATTCTGACTGAATAAATAGTATACAGGAAGTATTTACACTTAACGTTCTTTCCTAGCAAAAATTAGTTTAGTATAGTTCTGCTTTACATCAATTTTTTTCTATAAACCATATAGAATTAAACATTGTCTTTCATTTTCTGATGCAGTTTTTGTCTCAATATATAAACTTGTATAGTAAAATGCATTTCTTATTCTGATACTTACTTTTTACGCAAGAAGTGTCATCATTAGGATCTTCTCTGTAGCCGTTAACACATCGACATTTAGCGTTGCTATCCGCCTCATCACATTCTGCATTTACAGTGTGAGTGCATTGACCTTCTGCTTCTTTTGTACATTCAACATTTGACACCTTGTCTTCAAAACAGATTATTTAGATTTTATTTTTGTGAAAGAGAAATGATAGCTCATATGTTCAATACACAGAGCACATATGTTCAATACACAGAGCAAAAGAATGACCATTATAATGGTTAATGCCACTCCTTTATTTAGCTTGTATTTGTTATATTTACTATTTGTAAACGTTTGATTTTACATAGTCCAAACAACTATTTGTCGACACATGAAAAATGAGTTAAAGATCATACATGGTACAGCGTTTGTTTGTTTGTTTTTAAATCACACTTACGAACTTGTGTTTTAAGCAGAAGGTGGACAAGTTCATTTTTTGCAGCAATTAGTGTCTGTAATCATAAGAACATATAATTTCGAATGTTCGGAGACGTTTCTTGTCTCAATAAATCGTATTTTCTAGCACATTTAACCCTGAAATTGTGAGCTTTAAAAATATTAAAGTTAAAAACAGAGTGAAAATAATGACGTATACCTTTTTCGCAGGTACTATCCGTGCTTACTACAACTTCTTTGTAACCGCTTGAACATTCACATTTCATTGAACCAGCTGTATCATCACACTTCGCATTTTCAAAAGCTGAACATTGGTCTTCTCCATCACTATCTTTACAGGCGGTTTCTGATACTGTTGCTTTATATTTAAATATTGAATATGTCATTAATGTTATTAATTTGTTCTCTACGATTAAACTTTTATCTCTATAGTGCACAGTTATAGTTTTTCTCTTCGTCCTTTCATTTTTTTAGGGACGTAACACTTGTATATATTATTAATATGATCATACGCAGTAAAAAATAATGAATAAATAGTGAACGCAATGCTTTTAAAATCATTATAATATAATTTTATAATCTGATTTACAAGAATCATTTGTTAAAAGAAAGTCAGTAACATATGTATAGATCTTATTAAGAATAACATTGACCTATCTAGAGGGATTATTTTGGATATGAAATAAGTTTTTCTTTAAATAGACTTTAAATTTTCGTATTCATTTTGGACAAATACAATTTATAACTGACTATCATAGCTTTCTCTAACAGATACATGTGCGTAAAGTAAACTCCAATGTTCACAGAATCAGGAATGACACATCTTTTTCATTAGCTAAACCGGTCCTATGCGTTAGGCATCTGATAAAACATGAAACAGTTTTATCATCTTGATTATTGACTATAACCGTTTGTATGTAATACATCTGGAATTTCAAAGTATCATGTTTATACTTTTTTGCTATGTATGTACATTTTTTTGCTATTTTCGTAAACATAAATTTACTTATTTTTTTCTATTTTTGTTTTTGTAAATCTTGAATGATTCATTGAGACAAAAAGTCGCATTATTAAAAAGGACACTAAATATATTTTCGGATGGTTAGACCAGGATTCGAACGCCAGGCCCATCACAACACATCCTAGGAGAGTGAGTACTCCTAGATCTTTACAATATAGTTATCAGGAAAAAATACAGAAGCAAACTAAATTATTCTAAATGTAGGATTAGAATTCGTTACTCTGAAATCATTTATTATATTGTACATATCGATTACATTGGACATTATATTATTATAATTTGTCTAAAGTATTACCGGCAAGATACATGTAAGAACATGTCTGCAAGCTCAGTACTGCAGCGAGTAAGAATATTTTCCTCTTCATCTGCAAAACAATGATTATTAACTGCAATAGTATCAGGAAATATTTTGAAAATAAATCTTATATTAAAGAAAATTTTACTTGTGAAAAACAATATCTTTTATGTTTATGATAATAAAAAGAAAATCAAACTATATTACAACATATCTAGATGTAACTGAAGGTCGCAATTAATAATTATTGTTTGAATCATCTATTATTATTAGCTGAATTTGACAGGATGTAAATGCAGTTGGTATTCAAAGTGAAATGACTGTCTCGTGATATTATGCTGACAACATAATTATAATAATAATAATAATAATAATAATAACAATAATAATAATAATAATAATAATAATGATAATAATAATGATAATAATAATAAAAAATGTAATAACGGTTTACAATGTTTAAAACTAGAGACCATTAAGTATAAGTGTTCAGCCAGAATTATTAATAACCAGCGATCAGATACTTGACATATGTTATAAAAAACTTTTTTATATTAAATCTAAAACGAAATTGTATTTAATTTCTAAAACTGATTTATGGCGTACTGAAGCTGAAGGTTAAAATGCATGATTCATTTTCTTTAAATAATGACGTTTCATTAAGTATGGTACAAATATTATATCCGTCCTTAACAAAATACCTGACACAATTTAAGGCACTTTACATTATGGATGACCCCTTTGTGCAATCTAAAATCAACTTTTCACTGCATGTTTTGTGTAACATCAGGGAAAATGTCATCACGGAGAGTTTACGGTTTTACACACACGTTAAAGCTCAAATAATGTTTTATATTACATATACAATTGTTATATGTTTAATCTGTGAAAATATATACACATTTTGCATTGAAATTTACGATACGCTCATAAATCTAAGATGATGCCATGTATATGCAACTGAGAATTTTAGAAACGATTTGAACTTCTATATACAATTCTAATACTATCGGATTTTTTCTGAACAAAGAAGGCCCGAAGCGTGCATTATTCTACAACAATGCACTCGCCGTTCTAATTATCTCCCTGTGTATTTTCAAATTGAGGGCGCCATTTTTTTTGAAAAATCTGATAAATAAAAAACAATTGTTTTGTAAAAATTTTTTGTGAAAAGTATCTAGAATGAAAGAAAATGGTCTAACTTAGAAAATGAATCCGAACACCAATATCCTTTATTCAGTCGTTAACGCTGTACAGACGTTTAAACTGTTGTTTACGTGACGTCACAGTGTAGCGCAAAACAGCACGTGCAAAACAATTAAATCAAGTACGCTATTTTAAAATCGCAAACGAGTTAAGTTTTACATTTATTTCACTTTGAATAATTTGTATTTCGCTTGAAAAATTATTGAGTGAAATAAAATAAACAAACAAAATTTTATTCACGTTTTCAAAATTCGTTATTCTCAAAATGTTTCTACACACGGTAGGCTTAACAACAGTTTTTTGCAACCCACTGGAACAACCTTAATGAACGTTTCTTTTGGAAACTCTGAGGCGAAAACAAATTTAACCGCCAAATGTAAAGTCCAACTTTATAATAATAATTATATTTTTTCTTGACGTGTTAGAATGGAAATATATATTAATTCTTCGTGCATTATTGTATTATAATGCACGTTTTCCGTTCAAATAAAGTCCAACTTTATAATAATAATTATATTTTTTCTTGACGTGTTAGAATGGAAATATATATTAATTCTTCGTGCATTATTGTATTATAATGCACGTTTTCCGTTCAAATGCTTTGTAATTAATCATTTTTCCTGTAAACAAAGTATACCTGATGAAGACTTTTGAGTCGAAACGTTGTATATTTTTCAAATAAAATAATTACATTTTAAAATTGAAACTGGAGTTGATTTCTATATTCAAACTTACATTTTAATCAATCACTAAGGCCTATCGGCTTTCGTGATTATAATTATTACTACGCATTTGAACTCAAACCGTGCATAATTCTACAACAATGCGCTCAGAATTGATAACTTTTTCCTAAATAAAAGTAAAATCAAAAAGTACAGCAACAAAAGGTATATGTAGCAATGAAAACCAAAAAAAAAATCTTAACAAATAATTTTGAAAAAGTACGGCAACACAAGGTATATGTAGCAAAGAAAACAAAAAAAAAATCTTAACAAATAATTTTGAAAAAGTCATACATTAACATATTTGAAACATTACATATATCACCCTTTATAATTATCATCGTTTAATGTGCAATATAAACAATTTTCGCCTTATTTGTATACATAATGTAAAAAAGTGTATTTTTTAGTTTCTGTTCTTTCTGTAAAACAATAGGCACAACTGTATCTGTAATCTAATAATGATTGTGGAAAGAGACAATATATCAACGTTGCCAAAGAAATATGTCATTCTTAGGCCTAAATGCTTCTATTATTTTGTTATTTAAGAAGGAAGCTTAGTATTTATTATTGCTTTTAAGAAAAAATCTAGTACGCACAGTTTTGCTCTTTATCAAGCCATATTCTACTTCTTTCTTTCTTTCTTTCTTTCTTTCTTTCTTTCTTTCTTTCTTTCTTTCTTTTTCCTTTTCTTTATTACTTTTTAATTCCAGTTTTGTTAGTCTTTGAACAATTTTTATAATCAAATTCTATTTTCTCAAATGATATCATATTGATTGCTGATATATACATTTATGGAATTCCAATTACAATTGAATTTATGCACATCTTTTTACTACAAGTTAGACGATGTGGGAAGGGCCAATTCTCTAATGTTGTTAAAACTTGTGGCCCGACCCTTTTGCTTTTTTATAATAACTATAACATCCATGTATTAACTGTAAATGTATTCGTTACTGTTTTGTAGTATGTTAACAATGTATCTGTTTTTGTATAAAATGTAAAAGCAATAAAATATGATTAAACATATTCTACTAAAAATGTAATGAATAATATACATTAATAGCATAAAAGAATAACAAATTATTATTGAAAAAAGGAAAACTTAATATTTGATATTGACAAAACAGTGTAATTGGAAATATGAAATAAAATAATAAATATTACTTACCATAATTTACGTCGTGCGCTTCTGGATCCGATATGACTGCTGGGGTGGCCTACTCGTACTTATCAAGTAATTTTGGGACCGTGTAAAGTAGTCACATGACCAATGTTGTAAATTATCACTTTAGAAGAGGTTTGAAATTATTATTTATTTTTTTGCAATGATAATTATTTTCTATATTTAGGGTGTTTGTTTGAACAAGATTAGTTTGGGCAGATAAAATTTTTTCTATAAACTTCAGCAATGGATATGTTCACTTTCATGCTGATGTCATCTATAGTACTATTTGTGGGTGATTTTATCTGCCTCGAATTTATACCCTTAGCATCGATAAGTATAAATGCGTTTCAATTTTTGATGCATCGTTGTGCTAGTGTAAAATTGATATCAGTAATGCGTATTCAGATCAGTATAAAAACATTTATAAGTGCTTGAAAAACGTTTATGAGATGACAAAAGTTTATATTTCAATGAAATATTTGTGGTCGAGCAAATTTCATTTTTCAATTCTTTATAATAATCACATATCGCTACAATAGATTCTGTTCATGTCATCATGTCTCTCCGATGCTAGAATCGTTCAACATAAATAATATTCATATATAAGACTGCATGTTACTTGGTATATAAACTGTACCCCCAGAAACAAAATATGTTAGATTCTTGAAACATGCATATCAATACTGCAAACCCAAGACAAACGCACTTTAAGTGGTAAAGTATGTGTGCGTGGGCTGAAAATGTACAACCGATACATCTTTATTATCAATACTTGCAATATATTATACATGAACCAAGCAGATGCACTGATTTTATCAATATAGCTATACAAGCGATATTGATACAAGTTTACTTTAAAGGACATGTTTTTATAAATGTTCAATTCAATTCAATTTTGTAATTTTCGTTAAATCAGTATGATATGTATATATATGCATTTTGCGTCGTATATTATTTACATTTCTGTTCATACAGACACTACTAAATGTTCAAAACTTTAAATGAAACAATCACTCATTTATTAAATTGTGGCAAATGGTGGCTATTAAAACATACATTTTAACTGAATCATAGCGCTAGCGTCAGTAAAAAAGGAAAGGCAGTCGTTTGTTCTCCAATTTAATTCATAATAGAAATTATATTTAGACTTAAATCATACGGTGTTTCCTTAAGAACATTTTCATTTCGTAACAGTAAGATACAAATGCATCAGAAAGAATCGTGCAGTGACTAGGATTCGAACTAGCGACCATCTGCTTTAAAGCGAAAGTAACAACGCTCTTGAACACTGAGCCAGTTAATTGATTTTCCTGTCCCAATTGTCAAGAGGTTGTATAAAGCCAGTCATTCTGAACGAGATCCCATCTTAAAATCAGTAAAATCACTCTAAACCACTGAGTTTTACTATAATTATGAAGTTAAGTGTGCACTTAATCGGAATACTTTAAATAAAGTAGCATTTTGAAGACTTGCCTGGTTGCATGTGTGTTCGTGTTTTGTAAACCGGCACCGACTAAGGTATGTATTTTGTCTAGTACATGTTTGATAACTCCCACACAATCAAGACATCTAAAAATATTTTATTAACAAGATAAGATAGCGGGACGTCAGTACATACTGTTATTGTTCTATGGTATCTGAAGTAATATATAATTTGAAACACGTATTGTGCTGAGTTTTATTTATACATTGCCATCTACAGTTGTCTTATTTAAACAAACAAGCCCTGATTTCATTAGACGTTTAGAAATAAAATAAAAAAACATAATTGCGTAGGTCTTTATTGCTCACGGGACGATTTTCCATACTGTTTGCTTTATAACGTGATTTATCATGTTTTATTTACTTCAAGAATTCAAACAATTTATCAAATTATGCTGTTTGACCGAATTGTCTTAAAATCACAAGTATCTGCCATGCTTAAAGGTACTAAATTTCTATAGACTAGCATTAAATAGACATCATGCATCACTTAATATATACTTTATAAACAGACAGAAATAATGCATTTTGGTTAATGATTACACTTTACAATTATAGTCCATGTTTATTTTAAGAAAAGCAATAATCATAAACCTAGATTTATACATTTGACAGATGAATATTCAAAAATTCAGCATTTCTTAAAATTTAAATGATAAAGAATTTTAAAAATCATCTTTGCTAATGACAAAAAAACGGACAGACTATCTTTTGAACATTCTATTTTCTATACGTTTGCGATTGAAATATTCACCATGTGAGCAAAATTATTTTTGCAGATCTAGTGCAACTTTTATCTCTTTTCTTTGTAAAAGTTTGAAACGAGCGTTCTTGTACGTGCATTATTTTAAGTGCCTTCTAAATCACATCACGATTGAATATTATTATGCAGTCGCAAATCTTTTTTACTATACTTAAATGTTTGCTAATGTTATTTTTATATTTTACCACACCGGTAAGCAATGTTATTTACGTCTAAAATGTAATAAATTTTTAATTCAAGTCTGAAATTTATAAAAGAAAACAAACAAATCACAAGTATTTAGTAAAAAGTGTCTTGAAGTAAGAAAAACAAATAAATTATAAAGCTTAGTGCTGATAAATTTTTTAAGTAAATGTTTTAGAAACAAAATAAATCAACAGTTTTGACTAAAAAAATGAGTGAAATCACACCGTTGTACTTTGAATGATATCTGTTATTTGGATAAGCAACGGTAGTAATCATATTGTAATGATTAAGTTATTTCAAGTTCATTATAACATGTGTGTCCATAAGCTTGGTCGAACAATAAAAATTCGCAAGCCAGACCAAAAATAGACTTAGGCCATACTTGATCACGAAAAAACTTGCCGTGTTCATTTTTTTCTTGAATAACTGCTTCTTATATTTAGTTATTTGTTATACGCTAAAAAGTATGTACCTAACTTATGTGTATTCATTTGAAACATCGCTTTTACAAACGACAGAATAAGTAATCATTAATTTATATCATAATCAGCTCTCTTCTTTGGGCAAAGTATTACAGGAACACAGATAACCACAACAATAAATTAATGCAAAAGATATGTGTTGATTTTTAATAACAAGACATGGGCGCTGATAACCGGCGCAACCATAACAATAATATAAATACCAATGCTCCAATTTAACTAGTTAAAGGGCTACTCTTTGAAACAAAGTATTCAACAATTGCTACTTTTTAATTGTGTATCTCAATATCGCTAATATATTAGTCCTTATAAAGTTGTCCTGTATCAGGTCTTCAAAATTTCCCATCCATCAATGTACCCATTTTGTTTCAATTACAACAAGAATAAAATGGCTATTATTTGCCGACTTTATAAACAGAAACAACAGAATTTCAAACAATGATTGGATTGGCATTAGCATTGTTTGCTTACTCATCCAGTTGTAAGGTTATTTGAATTATTATAGTTACATTAACTGTTTGTGGTATACACGGGGTCAAATAAAACCGTATACAAAGAGTATCATGCAGCGATGTGGCACTTTTATTAAATATAATTTACTATAGCAATCAATAAGTGTTTTTCTTATTAATAACAGTTTCAACAAGGCAACAGACAACAAATATCAAATGCCTTTGACGAAATTTGTCAATTTATGATATCGATGACGTTTTAGACATATTTTTTGTTTTTATTTCTCGATGTTTTTTTGTCTTAACCAGAGAAAAATATCGCGATAAGCTCATGGGCAAAATTACAAAATATGGAGCATATTGTAATGTGGTTGTTCCCCCTTCTGTCTGTACGTACGTCCTGTTACCAATTTCCTGTTAAAACCGTCAGAGGGAATAATCCTTAGATCATGTATCTTTATAGGTATATTTCTGAAGACATATAGATGGCACCTATTGATTTGAAGTTCTCTAGGTCAAAAGTCAAGGTGACACCGAATAAAACAATCGTGTCCTATTTTTTTTCTTGAGAAAAACAAGCCTATACGTTACTTGGTGGAATGTGCAGTTAATGACCCCTATGGATTTTGAGATAATTATTTCAAAGGTGAATTTTATCCTTGTCCAAACAATTACTTGTGAAGAAATAAACCACGCGTCGCATCAACACAAAAGATGTCATATAGCGTCTTTCCAACTTTGGTAGCATCTTTAAATGAAATAATTCAAAGTTCCTTGTGGAATTCGTACCACAACGGTGAGGTGCATTTGGTTTGAACACTCGTCCAGGAACGCTCCTAATAAATACTTATAAGTATAGGCATTGTCCATGTTCAATAGGCAATGCATGTGTCAATTGATAATCCATATTCTATTGATTTTGAGGTCAACGGTCGAGACCACAGTGACAACTACGGTTTAATCCCATAACTTTAGACTGATTTTTTGTATATTTAAAAGGGTATTGCTTACCGTCAGTAAGTATCCCCCTTTTAGTCAGGGTCACAGTCATATTTGATGCGATATCCTTATCTTATCAACAACTAAAGATTTATATAAGTCATACGTTTTTAAAGCTTTTATCATTAATAATTTTGATACACATGACTGTGATTGGCAAATGAAGTGTAAGTGTCCTGTTGATACGTTGCTTATTTATATATAAACAATGTAGTTAAATACAATGACATATGGTGCCTATGAATCATTATTATGTTATTGTTTTGTCTGTTTTAAATTAGCGCTTATTATAATATTATCATTATTATCAGTGCTTTAACTTCCATGCTGGGCATGATTTTTCAATTTTCCAGTTGTGACAGTTTTTGTAGGGATTTTGATTAATTCTTTTGATTTTTGAGTTTTTTGAACACAGGCCACTGGATTGTCTTTTTAAAATAAAGCAATCAATTTAATTTATTACTCTCACAAATCATTTGAATTATTTGTAAACACTCAAATCCTTGTAAAAAAGCAATTACATTTGTTGGCGATATCCCCGGATCGTCATTTTTTATAATGTATAGATGTTAACAATGAAACAGTTTATTATCATTGTTTATTTAAAATAAAAAAATTGCAGTCTTAATCGATGACAATTACATTATCCTTGTGTTGGATCACTGGCATCATTGTATATTACAGAGCTCTTCTAATAAATGATAACGAAATATCCAGTGATGATTTAAAGTGCCTTTAATTGCAGTTATACATATTAATGTGAATATTGTCCTCAAATGTATAACATCATAGTAAATTTGGAAATCAGAGGCTTCATAATTATAAATTATAATTATACTGACTAAAGTAAGTGTGAAGTAAAATGTCATGGTATGTAAAGTTTAGTTATTCACAGTTATATATTTGAATTTTATCACGTACTTTTACAATGTACCACATTGTAAAGTAAAATAGGAAAACTAAGAACAACAATGTGAAGCAATGTTTAAGGAATACATTCCTTACAGTATTTTTGACTATAGCTACAGTTAGGCTTGAGATAATGTACACAAACTTGGTATAGGTCAGTCGAAGAGCCATGAAATGGTATTCCGGGGCCCCGGGTTCGAGTCCCGATCAGGCTGCATATTTTGTCACTTTTTGACATGCATTTATAAGTTATTATAACCTTGAAGTGGAAGAAAAATTAGTAATAAAACCAAACTTACTTTGCGTACTATTGTCACAACGAAGCCATAAAATACATTCAAGTTTTCTTACACGCAGTGCATTTACTTTTTGTTCGTGCATGTGTGTTCGTGTACAGAAAACTAGCACCGGCTAATGCAAGCATTTAGTCTAGTACATGTTTGATAACCTTCCACATTGTCAAGACAGCAGAATTATTTTATTAACAAGATAAAGATAGCGGGGCGTCTGGTACTGTTATCATTCTATAGCACTCTCAAGTAATGTACGAGTATAATTTAAATAACATATTGTGCTTTTGTATTTTATCTACATTGCCATCTTGAGTTGTCTTATTTAAACTAGCAAGCACTGTTTTCATTAGATGTTTAGAAATAAAAAAATAAATGCGTAGCCCTTTGTTGCTCACGGGATGATGTTTTCTGTTTGTTTTATAATGTGATTTATTATCTTTTATTTACTAAAGAATGGTAATATATTGCTACAAAAATATGAGAATACAAACAACTTATCAAAATATTGTTGTTTGATCGGAATACCTTAAAATCACGAGTATTTTTCAAGCTCTTAGAAGTGCTACCGAAATATTTTGAAGTAATATTATATTTTAAGGTACTGAATTTCCATAGACTAGAATGGAGTCGACAAATTTGTATGATTAAGATAAAGCAATGCATGCATCACGAAACAAATACTTACATACATAAATAATGTATTTCGTTTCATGATTGCACTGTACAATATTCTATTATGATTTGAGAAAAACAATAACCCAAATCAAAATCTATACATTTAACAAAATTTTAAAGTGAATTCTAATATTCAGCATTTTGCACCTTTAATTGATATAGAACTTTAATAATCATGTTTGCTAATGACAGGAACTGTATTCAACTTGTTCTAATTCTATTTTCTAGACGTTCCCGCTTGAAACATTCTCCTTGTGGTAAAATGCCGTTTAAAAAGCTAATTTACTCTTTTGAACTTTTTTTGAATTTTGAAATGAGTGATGCATTATTTTTAAGTGCCTTTTAATTCACATCACGATTAAATATTATTATGCAGTGGCAAATCTTACGATAAATATATGTTGCTAATGTTATTTCTTATTTTTTTCCATACCGGTTAGCAATGTCATGTACCTCTAAAATGTAATAAATTTCCAATTGAAGTCTGAAATATATAAAGATAACAAACAAATTACAAGTGATTCTTTATTATATTATTGATTCATTGTCGTCTTAAATGCTTAATGTTTTCATTTCTAAAAAATATTTGCTAAGTAAATAGTATCTTGAAGTAACAAACACAAATAAATTATAAAGCTTAGTGCTGATAAGTTTTCAAGTAAATGTTTTAGAAACAATATATTCAACAATTTTGACTTAAAAGATGGATGAAATCACACCGTTGTTAGACGCCACGTGTACGCGGCGTCTAGTAGATATGCATTTGTCCATACAGCAATGTGGACAATTTTAGACTTGTTTTTGTGTATCTTTATTGGTTTTAACAAAATCACACTGTTTTTCAAATTTTCTAATAAAATAGCTTTTCTGATGTAGAATATGTCATCTAGCTTCAAGGAATTAGAATAAACGTTTAACTGAAGTGATCGTGCCATGTTTGAATATCATATTCTTTTTATCATTATCTAATTTCATCTACATAATAAATAACCTGCCAATGAGCCAGTTTATAGCTGATCGTTCTAAAACTTATTCTTTGAGAGAGGTAACGACTGGGGCAGTGTCACTCATTTCATTTGCTCCACCTCTGTTGAAGTTCGGCTCCGCCTTTAATTGTCGCCAAATTTAATATGATGTTCCGTATGCTAGCATTTAGTCTTCGTTGACTGGGGCAAAACCAGGACAACTTTGATTAATATCACTTGTACTTTGAATGATTTATGTTATTTGGGAAAGCAACTATAGTTATCATATTGAATTAGTTCATTAGGATTAGTTCATTATTATATATGTGCTCGTTAGCTTTGGTGGAACCAAAAGCAAATCACAAGAATTATAGTTTTAGGCCTTACTTGATTCCGAAAAGACGTGTTCATACGGTGGTTATCATAAAACCTCCAATTTGAAGCATTCGTGCCATTGAATAGTGAGCGTCGTTTTGTCTCAAGTAAAAGAACACCGCATACAATAGCAATAACACGAAAAAGAAAATACTTAGAATAATCAAGGTTTTAAAATGTATCAAGACTTTTTGTACATTACTTCAGTTGAAAGAAATTTGAATTTTTCTTTGCGTCAGATCATTTCAAAGTTTTAATAAGAACTATAATATTTAGCCGATATATTATTTTTTGTTCCTTGCTCCTTTCAAAAGTTAACACTTAACAACGCAAATAAACTCTTAACAGACAGTATAAAATTTACTTTTCAAATGTCATTGAATTTATTTATAATATGCAATAGGTACGGCAAATTTAAATGAGCCGTTGAATTGATTTATATCACTTAATTTGCTATATTGACATTGTAGAATAAGTAGTTTAAACAATAAAAACGCAGATATTCTGTTCATAAACATAAAATTTCTTATAAACTATAAAATATAAAGTGTTACTTACAAAATGATTTTTTTTGTATTTAGAAAATACATTCTGCAATTTTATAAGATTGTAGAAACAAACGTCTTGGGAGGCTCGATTAAAAAAATGAATTTATCATGCGTTTTCAACAGTGTTGGCCCCTTTCTAAACAACAAAAACCGACATACAATAGCATCTCGGTAACACATGCGTTAAATATTTTTGAACTTTTTGGGGGGTTTTATTAACAGTATCTATTTACTCATTTTTAATCATGTACTTATGTGAATATGAACTTTAGTGGTAAAATCACAAAATAGTTAAAAGGGGTTGTTTTTAGTAAAGGTTAATATATGTAACGTTATCTTTAATTCTAAGTTCATAGTTTCTACAATATCAAATCTTTGTTGCAACTGTAAAATATAGCTAAAATGAATAAAAAGTTCAATTTTACTCAAGATGCGTTTTGTGAATTGCTACAGTAGTGTTGCCAATGTAAGAAATGTATCATTTCGAAATAATCATTTAGTCATTGGACAATGCTTAATTGTTTCACTGCATTTGGAATTTTTTTTGTTATGTAACATTTTATTTGCTATAAATGATATTCCTATCAACAAAGTCTTTCAGTGTTCATAAGTTAGGGGATAGAGCAACACGTCACATTCTTTGTAAATGTGATTGACATTGACAATTAACTTTTTGGTATATCCAATAAGATGTTTTACAAAGCGTTACATGCTTAAAGGACAAAACTGGTATTGATAAAGATTAAAAGACAAAACTTGTGTACTTTCTTCACAATTAAATATTTTTGTCTCAGTCAAAGTAAGGGGACATTAACACGTAAGAAAATAAAGATTATGTTAAAGTACAGTTATCGTTCCTTCAAGTAAAATGGTAACACTTGAACATGGCTATAACAGTCAGAATAAGATTGCAAAGGATGATGTTATTACTGTAATAATATTTGGATAATGCTGATATTGAAAAAAGAACGATAGATTATGTTAAATGATTCGTTTGCAATTAAACAATTTTGTATTCGTAGTTTATAATCTGGTGATTCTCAACAACAATTATTTTAATATAAATATTTAGGCATGTTTATCTTCTTTATTGGTTAAGACTTGAGCATATTACATTCTTTGTTTCCAAAGATTAGAAAATATTAAAAATTGTCAGGACAAACAATGTCATAATAATGTTTACACTGGATTGTCGAATATGTTTTTGTATTGATACCATCTATATTAGGAAACTACATTTTAGCGTTTTTGTCAAATTTCCTTTAATTTACATGGCATAAGATTAATAAAAGCTGCAGTCCTGTCAAAATTTGAATTCTAATTTTTATTACGTCTGCAAAATATAATAATGAGGGCAATTGTTAAACGTATGCTTCATAAGTTTGTTCGTTAAATGCATCTAACGCATAAACTAATATGAAAAGGAGAAACGCCTGAGGGGATTTACCATTGAAATAAATGCTAAATAATAAATGTAATTTATTGACTTGAAAAAAAAAAAACATATCATGGACATAAAACGTAAGTGGCTCAGTTTATCAGTTAATTTAAAAGTGGCTCCGAGGATATGAGAAATGTTATCTATGCATTATTATTATTATCATTATTGTTATCATTATCATTATTATTATTATTTATATTAAGGCTTAAAAACGTCAACGATATTTAACTGGACAAATACATTGTTTATTCTTCAAATGAATATTATACTACATGATATGGCGTTTGCTTGAAAATGTAAAAGAGATAAATTATTCAAATTATTTTATCAATTCTTTGATGAGAAAATATGTGTACAGATAACAAGTGATAAGATAAATTCAAAGTCAAACAACATAGATACTGAACTGCGATAAAAGGATTTTTTTCTCAGTGTAAAAATGGAAACACTGTTTTATTTATAGCAAGCCTATACAATTCAATGTGTATGGGTATTGTGATTAGAATATTTTTTTCCTTTTGATCTTGGAAAGTTTTACAAGTCAACTTGTATACTTTTGCCATCATAAGAAGATGTTTTTCTACACAGCATATCCTTAACAACTGAAATTTGCCTAAAACTATATTGAATTTTAAGCTTCAGCACATCATAACGTAACACTACAGTGTATATCTACAAATAAATAAATAAAATACAGTCTTTGTGATTGTTGATACTTTTACACAATGATCCAAGATTTCTGTAAGGGCAATCTGAAAGAGAATAAATGGCAGTCAAATCGCACTTTAATCAAGGTCATGTCAATAAATATAAAATATTTTAGTAATAATGTATGAAGAGGCACCCGTGAAAACATTATTCAATCACAATTTACAATCTATTGTAAAAAGACATTACTTACTATTTTTTATTCCTTTAGATCTAGACAATAAGGCATGTGGTCAACACAGATAGCAATAGTGAGATAGTGCAGATTTCCATCATTGTAGCTATAATGTGGATAAAAAAAAATCTTGATAGAAGAAGTGCTTGTTGCATTACATTTCATCATAAAAAACGAAAAGGCCAACTGTTATTTATATACTTTTCAAAGGTTTTAACTATGTAAATTGCAAGGTTAAACTGCTATATTGTGACAAATTTAAAACGAATGTTAAAAAAAAAGAAAAATCATTTACCAGAGTTCTTCGGTTCACATTTGTCAGCATGCATCATGTAATTAGGGTTGCATTTACATTTACCAGTGTTTGTATCACAGGCAGCATTTTGAATAGAGTCACAGACTGTTTTATCTGATGAGCAATCATACCCCGCTACAGCTGAAAATTGTAACATCATCTATATATGTATACTGTAACGCTTAAACATATATACATAGACTTTTAAACATTTATAAATGAAATATATATGTAGTCAAAGAAGAAATATAAGGTATCATATAATCAGAAAAAATACACTTAGCATCAGCATAATTTAACGTTTTCCCAAATATTACTCTCGTGTGCTTGTGCTTGGTAAATCAATATTGATCTCATTTACTTTTTATCAAAGCATTAAATTGCAAAATAAATTAAAGAACATAAGTATAATAAAACATGTTATTAGATAAACATAAAGATTTTCAAAGACAAATGCTGACTTTTTGTACAAACGCTATCTTTGTCTTCGTATCCCGCTTTGCAAACACATTTGCCACTTGTACACACGGCATTTGCATCACCAGGACAAGTACTGCCTGCATTGCAATTTCCTCCGATTACTGAAATTCATTTTATGTAATTCAAAAACATTTAAATAATCTAATTGTACATGTCGCAGCTCAGTATAGTGCATGCGACATATATTTGAAGGAGAGCAAAATATTCTATCAATATAATCAATGGCGTTTTAACGATTTGTTACTTATTTATTTATTTATCTATTTATTCATATTTTTTTGGCATGATTAATGAAAAGATGTCTGACGATGATACTTTGACAAACTCTCTTTCCATGGGTATCATGAAAAATGATTTGTCATAAAGAAATTGATTTCCGTGATTTTTATTAGTAAGTAGTGGTAGGTGGAAACAAACTGCTTAAAGTTACACCCAAGTTTTCATTCTACAAATTTAAATGTAACTTAAAATATTACGAATATTACGGAGAAACTCCAAAAACTGTCCATTATTCGGGAGCATGGACAGATCGTGGAGGTGTATGAGGAGTTTTTTCTGCTTCAATCTTTTTCTCTAGATCTATTGTCATTATAATGGGAAAATAACGTGACGCCAGTATATGCCATGCAAATATTATGTATCATATGCACACCGTCAATCTTAGTCTTAGCCTTCAGTTTTAATATTCGGACTAAAGCCCTTATTTATAGATACATGTTAAAATAATGAATATGTTTGACTAATATTTGACTGTTCTTTATTTTGTTGTCAATCAGGCGTATTATTGTACAGATAAAAGTATAACGCAACAAAAATGTTTTGTACTATTATAACGTTTTTTATAAGTGTGCAAGTGCATTGCAAATCACAATACATTTTATCCATTTGTTATCAAAATTAAAATACCCAACAAAAACTTAAAATCTGCAAGGTTTTAGAAAAAACAGATCAATGTGAATTAAAAAAAACCCATAAAACAAAAGTAAGAAGACAACTGAATAATAGTATAGAATAATTTACTCTTTGTACAAACGATATCCTTCTCTTCATAGCCTGCTTTGCAAGCACATTTGCCACTTTTGCACTCAGCATTTGCATCACCAGGGCATGTGTTGCCTGTTTTACAATTACCTCCAATTACTGAAATTCATTTAATATTATCCAAAAATATTAAAATAATCCGACGGTACAGGTATCAGCTCAGCATAGTGCATGCGACATATATTTGAAGCAGAGAAAAATATACTGTCAATATAATCAACGGCGATTAATCGATTCGTTTTATATATCCATTTCTTTATTTATTTTTTATTTTCTATACTCTCTTTCCATGGTTATCAAGACAAAATATTTGTAATAAATAATTTGATTTCAGTGATTGTTTTTAGTAGGTAGTGGTAGGTGGAAGCAAACTGCTTAAAGTTACACCCAGGTTTTCATTCTACACATTTAAACTCCAAAACTGTCCATAATCCGAGAGCATGGACAAATCGTGGCGATGTATAAGGAGTTTTTCTGCTTAAATCATTTTCTTTAGATTTTTTTTCATTATAATGGGAAAATTATGTGACCCCAATATATGCTTTGCAGATATTATGTTGCATATACACACCGTCAATCTTAGTCTTAGCCTTCAGCTTTTATATTCAGATTAAAGCCCTTATTTATAGATATATATTACAATAATGAATAATCTTTTGACTAATATTTGACTGTTTTTTATTTTGTTGTTAATCAGACGTATTATTGTACAGATAGAAACATATGCCGTCAAAAAAATGTTTTGTATTATTATTAATTAAATCATTGTTTTAAGTGTGCAAGTGCATTTCAAATCACAATACATTTTTATCAATTTTTTATCAAAATTGAAATACCAAACACAAACTAAAATGTGCAAGGTTTTAGAAAATACAGATCATTGTGACACAAAAACATAAATCAAAAACTAGAAGACTGCTTAATAATAGTATATTATAATTTACCCTTTGTACAAACGTTATCCTTCTCTTCATGGCCTGTTTTGCAAGCACATTTTCCACTTTTGCACTCAGCATTTGCATCACCAGGGCATGTGTTGCCTGTTTTGCAATTGCCTCCAATTACTGAAATTTATTGAAATTGGCATTTTAATACTACTTTTAATCCCATGTTTTTCTACTTTCCAGTTTAGTTTTTTAATCATAGATAAGCATGCGTAAAATTAATCTTAAAATACTTTCTGAAACGATATATACATATTCTGTGTGTAATGAACCCTTCTACGGAGGAACGAAATCGAATGTTGTTTTTTTTTTAATTTTTAAATATACGAGGGTTGTCCCAAAAGTCCGTGACAACTTTTATAGACGATTCATTTTTAACGCCAATAGAAAATAATTCACACATATAACCGTTAAGTTTATTATTTAACATTACAACAAATCATTTACAAAAAATTTACTCTAGTTACTTAGAAATTTTCAGTATTAACAAAATTGGTTTGAGTTACCGGCGCACGTCAAATAATTTGCATTTTGTTATGAATAGGCAAAAATTAATTTTGTATATTTCAAATATTTGATGATGTGTCTGCACAATGTTACGTTGACTTCCTCTGCTAATATGTTTACATCATCTCAGAAGTTGTAATTAAATAACATAAGAAACGAAAAAGATACGAATAAATGAAAATATCTCATATAAAATAGGAAAGTTAAAATGGCGACGTTCGAAGAATTTGCGGCGCAGTGAACAGGTCACTCTCGAAATGACACATGTTACGATTTTCAACAAATATACCAAATAGAACAGTTTAGCAACATATCTTGAGCATTTGTGTACAAAAAGCATGACGGGACCAGAGTTTCGCGCTACAAAATGCGAAAATAAGGAAAACACGGATAGGAAGACCGATCTTTGTCGCCTATTTCCTACAGCAAAAAACAGGTGCAACGAGACCGGAAGTTTGCGTATATAAAAAATTAATATATGCCATCCAAACATTCAACTGACATTAACAACATCATGATTTGGGTCTGTAATTGACGGTTTATGGGTGACGCTGCACCATTATTGCGTTTAAAGCCATTGAGAGTATTTGAGAAAGGCGCCTTATATAAATTAAACGCCGTCTTTGACGTTTGACGTGCACCGCGATTCAGTTAGTTACCATGGTGTTTATGACATATTTTTGTTGTTTTTTTGTAAATTTGGGAAAATGTTTCAATTATAACATATTAAAAACTGTATGTTACATGTTACTTATAGTTTATTATGCTCACCTTTTTCTTGTTTGCCAATCTTAAGTCTTTATATTTTTATGAAATATTACGTTAAACATAACTGTTACAATTATTTTTGCCTAAAACATGAAAATTTAAAATGAAATTATAAAAGAATGTAAACTTTAATAACCAATCATGCATAAACAAGACATTTATAGTCCTTGTGTTCTAAACGACAAATATATGTATTTATCAGTATATTAGAAAACAGTAAATGAATTCGTTCAAACGTTGAAATATCAGTTTACTTTTTCATTGTAAACGTTATTGTAAGATCACACAAAATACATCTTTATTGAAATATGAATGTACGTGATTCTTTAATTGTAAACTATTTTGCTACGACACTGAGCCGTAAAAAGAAGGAACCTATTAATAAAGTGATAAACATTTCCTTAACGTTTTAAAGCCACATGTTTATATATTAATCTTACCATATTTTTCATGATATCAGTGTAATATAATTAATTATGACGTTTTGTACAAATACAAAATTAATTTTAAATGCGCTAAGCAGACTTTGGAAATGGATCAATTCTCGAAACGTTGATTCAGCGTAATGGTGTACATTTCTTAAGCAAATCATTCTGTAGACAAATGTATCATACGTAAACACGATTACAAAAACCTTTGAAACCCAGATTAATTGTTTGGAACCTACAAAAGGCTGACAGAAGAGATAGCGCGCTGAAATATGTAAATACTGGACATAGGAAATTAAAGTTAAACAGGGACAATGTAATATTTTAAAAGATAAATTAAAGGAAAAATAGAAAAAAAAACTGTTCTTAGGATAATGAACTGCAATGATTGTACAATTCAGAAAAAGGTTAATGAAGGTGAAAAGAATACTTATATAGAAACAATTATCTAATCTTTGTTGTCGATAAATCAGACAATAAAATTTATTTTCATTTCTGTTGCATTTCGGTTGTCCATATCTGCGACGCTTTTGAATACTTATAGTTTCGTTCCGAGTAATGCATAGATACATTGTTTCAATATTGTTTTCTTTTAGCTTTTCTTAAGCTACAATCACGTTTATTTCAGTTTAAAAATGATAAAAAATTGATAAACTATACAAAACATTTGATTATTATCTGGTATTGCAAATTAAATTATACAACAGTAAAATGAATATACAATTTATAGATTTTAATTATAGTTAATTTGGTCCGGAGAGAAGTTGTCTCCAGTTTTTCAGCTACCCCGAGTGACTGCGTCGCACAGTATTTCCATCAAATTGTCCACCAACAGGCAATATCTTTACATGTGCATACTCAGAAAACACATCGCTATCTAACTGCATTCCGATATTTTTACATAAATGTCTGTAATCTTCAAAAATTATGAAAAAATAACCTTGTTTATCGTGTCACACGTCCTAGATGGGTGCTCACAACGAGGAACGGAAGTTGCTCACAACATTTTTACCAATGGACATTTTACACTCGTTGTGAGTTAAACGGGCAAATATCACATTACAGTTATATTCTATAAAACGGTAAGATAAAGGAAATTTAAACACATAATTAATTTACTACTTAGTAATTGATCTTGTATTACTTTTGAAATTGCCATAACTCGTAGGGTTTGGAGTTGCAATAAAGGCCGTTAATAGAGAGAAAAATTCTCTAGACTAAATTATCGATATGATAGAATGATTAGCATAATTGAATGACAATATCTGTATAAATGTTGAGAATATAAATTCTTTCAAAAGTAAATAAAACACTCGTGCTGTAGCTTTTATCTTTAAAACGGGCAAAAATTTCTCACGAATAAACAATATAGCAAAAAGCAAATATCGCTTCTTACTGAAATAGTCAATAATTAAAATCCTTAAACAACAATTTTAAAATAAAGAATCAATTTTTAACAGTTATGAACTTCAAATCTGTAAGAAAGAACAAAAGGGAACGTTTAATAAAAGAAAAAAGTCTTACCATGTTTGAATGTCTTAACCAAAACATGATATCAGATAACCAGCATAGCAACCACTATTTATGTCTTGCTACGTGAAGGACAAATGGTCACATGACCAGCACAACGTCATTTAGTTAGAACAAAACACTAATTATTTGATGGCCATTTATGTTTTATTTTGATTAGTCGGCTTTTGTAATAATCAAACATGGAACAATGTACGCAAGCTCAGAATTAACACTGATTTGAGAGAAAATGTGTGTTATCAACAATATGATCACAAAAAGTTATTTGGAAAACTGTTTTTCGTTTAAGCTAAAATACATGTACAACTATTTTTAATTATTATAAGTAATAGATTAAACTATCTGAACCATTTGTACGTCCTATTCTTAAAATGTCAACATTATTTCATTATTGACAAACAAATAATTGAAGCACATAATGTGCGTACACTCGTAACTTCAATCATTTGCATTAAATTATACGATTGATCAACTAATCAAAGCGATTACAAACATTTGAATGTCAAAATTCTTTTCTGTTTGGGGGCTATAAAACGTACGACATTATAACGTTTAAAGTGTCCAAAATATAAAAAGCATTTGAATAAAGAGGTGTAGTCGAAATGTACTGAACTCTACCGAGTTTTTTTTTCTCAAAGCTACCTAGAGAAGTTGTCCTGAATTTTTTATTGTATTAAAGTTAAACATAACCATGTTATGTTGCATTCATGCTGTATCTTAGTTGATGATAGTGCAACGTTAACGTCAAAGTTAGTATAGATAAACATAACATTTACATATTAATACATCTGAAATAAATTTTTATATCGCATGAGAAAATTGTTATCCAATTTATGTTTGTACTGTAGTACAGAAATCATTATTAATTTGAAATACTCCCATCACACAGGGCTCTTTATTATCATTTAAATTGGTTCAGTTAAAACAATGCATGCTAGAGATTTAGGACTAACCTTTAAAGTGTATCTCTGTAAGGGTAACACAACACAAGTACTTCTAGATAAATTACCATCTTGATGTTACATGATTATTGCTTGGTAAACAAACTAAATAAACCTGATATTTACAAAGATCTTATTCCGGTGTATATATCAAGTTTAATGTATATAATCATTCAAACAAAACCAGTTTGGGTTTGCGGATATTTGAGTGGCGGAACCCTCCTGCGTATATTTTAAGATTTTAGCTTTATTTATTTGACTTAATGTAACAAACATTGAAAGAAACACGAAGCAAAATGCATAGTTACTATCGACACCAACTGCAAAATCACAGTTATTGTAAAAAGTGACCTTAAATTCAAAAATGGTGTTAAAAAGCTTTGCACTCGAATCGAACCAAAAGTAAAACAAAAATATGAACTTCAATTTATGTCTGAGGTTATCTCGATAATTATCTGTTGCCCATCTTTCTGTTTTAAGTGCATAAGCATATCGTTGTATGCATTAAAATGTTATGCTTTAAGGCTTTTGGACATCAGTGGAGTTCCTTTAGGCTACTATGCGCACACTTTTTATAAGTTTGTTTATGTGAAGCAAATTTACTAAATTTTTTGACTAGATTATCTTAGTTTAATGCAAAATTAAATGCAAAACAATGTTTATTTAAGTGTTTTGGTCTCCATTCTCCAGTGTTTTTAAAGTGTAATTTCAAAAGCGCAGCAATATACTTTTATAATTCACACATGATTATATGCCCCTTTTCCTGCGGAATGCAAGACCATATTATCTTTGTCTGTGCATTTATGTTTCTTTTCAATGTCATTTTAAACTGACCGTTTCATAATTATGATCCTTTTTATTTGTCTCCTTCTAGCTGAACTTATTCAAATAATTGGCTATTATTGTCCTTTTGCCGTTGCAAAGTTATTTTTTTTATGTTCAGTCACAATTATTATTCATGACAAAAATGTCGAAGGCTCATTAATATTATGAATTCATATTATGAGCAATGTAATCACATTTGGCACATCATCATCATCATCATCATCATCACCATTATCACCACCATCACCGCCACAACAATTATTAAAAATCTTTAAACGTATCAGCATCCTGTATGTTTTGTTCTTTTTTTATTATTTTAGCATGTAACTGACAGTCATAAAATTCATTTTTGAAAGTTCCTTTAGGATGACAATCCAAATCAAGGAAACAAACTTATTTGTGTAATTGTTGTGCAAAAAGCATGTTTCCTGAGTGACAACACTATTTAAATTACGTAGCTCTGATTTAAAATAGCTTATAAAAGAAAACAAAATAAACTTTGCATTTTACAACTGTTTATTATAGGAAAATTTGTTTAAAAATTACATTGTAACGGATAAGACATTTTTTAGCAGATAATAAACAATTATACCAAACTACTTTCATTAAAATGGCTAAACGTTTTGAGATAAAACAGTTTAAAAGAAACAAAAGAGTGTGCGTTTATTTATCTGTATTTAAGATCTTACTGCATACACGATATTCTAATATGTAACAAGTGTATATTTAACATAACAATCAATAATGAGACTAAACAGAACATGTCACTTAACAGAATAAGAGAAACAAATGTCACAGAGTGAGAAAAGTGTGCAGCCTGACCTGGATTCGAGCCCGGTACTCTCGGAATAGCGTACCACGGCTCTACCGACTGAGCTATCCGGCGGCTTACACATCTTCTCCCCTAAATAGTGCACAGTTTTGAACCGTGACACAGCTTAAAACAGCATGTACAACATAACATACAATTCTGCAACTTAACACTCAACAGAAAGAGGAAACAAACATCATCAGACTTAACAAAAAATTGACGCCTTACATGACATAACATACAACAACGAGACAAAAACATTGAACCTAAATGAAAGGAAGAAAAAACTCGACATGCATATTTAAAAAAATAAAATAAGAAAAAATAAGAGAAGGAACCAAGTGCTACAGCCCATATCAATAAACCGCCAACGCCTTCTGTTTCATGTGCGGCTCTTTCGACCACTTCCGGTGCTCATGCACCCTTGTCACAGGCAGGTCAACAACCAACATGAAGACAATCGAGAAGTATAAAATCGGATACAGTTGATCTAGAAGATGAGTATTTATCTAAATACTCAAAAAGTTTCATAACAGATATAAACAGGTTATTTCGAATATATGAGTCTTGTAAAAAGGAAATAATTGTAAGGGTAGATTAAAACAAAATTTAAATGTTTAGAAATCGATGACTACAAAATTTAATCATTTTGTTATTGATACAATATTCAGAGTTATAAAATTTCCTTTCTTCTCTAAACCCGAATTTTGTCATTTGTCAAATAATACGTCTGCTTTAGAAAATAAACGAGGGTCTCGTTATACAAGCTATTCAGTAATTGTAAATCCTTTGTTTTTTATGTTCGTTCGAACGGCAAATGTAGGCTTATTGTAGATGTACGTGCAGTAAACAAGCATTCATGGAAACAGGTATTTTTAAAATAACGATAAAAAATGTTGTTCAATTTCTTAAGGAAAGTTCAATGATGATAAAATTTGATATTCATTCCGCATATCATTTTATTTAGATTTTCCCGTCACATACTACATTTTTGGGATTTTCCGGGACAGATTGGCAAGGCAAATCGGTCTCGGGCTTAGGCTTGTCCGGCTATAGACTACACGTGTATATTTACAAGGAAATCAAATAAAAAAAAATTAAGAAATGTATTAAATTCTATACCTATCAGATAAGTTTTCAGTATCGTTTCATGTCGGTCGCCGTTACAAAATGATAAACTGCGGGGTATTCCAATAAATGACTAAAGTTATTACTGTTTTTCTCATTTGTTTGAATTGTTAAGTTAACCTGGAAATGAAGCCGACTATTATTAACCTTTGACGTCACATTTGTTCTTTATAAATGTTTGTACTTTAAGTAAAAGTACTGTGATACAGTCGGCATCCAAAGTCGCTTACAACAAATTAATCAATTTGAAATGTATATTTTCGTTTCTTTTCTATATTTTACGTTGTAACAGTTTGCAGTGATCTAGGGGGAGTTAACTTATCTACGTTATGGAAACAATTGTAGTAGTTTTAATTTTTTTTAAATATTTTTTCTGTAATTATAATTTCAATTATGGCTTTAACTCTCGAAGACAGATGTTATATTTATTAATGGTATTACATAGCTTCCTTGAAGTCTATGGTTTGTTTATTTGTTTCGTTTTACGCCTTTTCCAAACAGTATTTCAGTCATATAGTAATCATCGTTCCTGGGAAGTTACACCAGTACTAGACTACCTTCCCCGTCACTAAACTACCAAAGCATCTCCCGGGGATCGAACCCACGCCAAAGAGGTAACTGGATCAGACGTCATCGACTCTAACCCCTCGACCACGGAGGCTGTTTTGAAGTATATGGACCAATCACTTTAAGTCTTATATTTTCTGGGCAGTGTTTCATATAAGCCTTTTAAAAAATGAACAACCAGCTTTAATAGAAACATCATTATTTTTCTATGTTAATATTCAAACACATATCTATTCAGCATCTCTTTACTCATATGCTTTTGTGATAAAACCCTGTGGCTTTTTGTCAGTAATTGAAGAAAACAATACTCGTTTTCGAACAATCAAAGAAAGCCTCAAACATCTATAATATTCACATTTAATCGATTAGAGTAGGACAACACTACTATTTAGTATTCAAGCAAAAACAGAAACACTCAATTTATTTCCAACTGTTTATTCAATAGACAATGTTTAAAATAATATTCATATCAAATAAATATTCTTAATGTACATTAAAACAAAATTTTTCGATTTCACTTTTGTGTTTATTTTGAATGAGGAACAAGTTAATTCTATTATATAACACGAAACTTAATTGACAGCAATAAGTAGTGGTATCTCCATTTTTCTTCTTTGTTACGGAATTACTAAATTAAATATTCTTGCATGAAAAAGTGTTTGTACGTAATCACATGGCGTTCGTCGGAAATAGTATCTTGTCAACAATGTATGGTTTATTTAAAACCTGTTCAAATTGTATAAAAATACGGGTAAAACTAGTAGATACCGAAACACTGTTTATTTCATGTCAATGAAATATGAGTTACATTATTTTTATGCATTAACGGATAGTGAAAAATCTGAGGCGTTACGATTTGTGTTTATATACATTATTTGTCTTTAAATTCACCAGGATTCATATAATTTTAATGGTTTTTTTTTTTCAAATTGCACTAAGTTTGTCTTTAAACATGACATTCGACACTATTTTCACCGATTAATTGCCCATTTTGCTTTAATAGATGAAAACATCTATCTGGCGTACCATTAATACAATGTCTCAAAACCTACAAGCAAAATGAATTCATACATACAAAAACATTTTTTACATGCAAGAATTAAACAGTTGACTTTTGTAAAATTTTAAATGTTTAACACACACACACACATAAAACAAATCGGAAAAAGGTAAATCTGAAAGGAAGCAGATACAGATACTGATTAAAATATGAAAACAAACGTATTACGGCTTTGTAGATTACAATGCACGTAGTTCCCTTTCTTGATTCATGTTCATTAGCCTTTCTATTTAAATAAAGCGAATTTCTTTAAATGTTAATCCTACATTTGATTTGATAAAGTATAGTAAATAAAATCATTGATTACGGTGTTAAAAAGAAGGTATAAATAAAATGTCCATCACACACACAAAATAGAATGTAGGTTTATCTTTTGCGTCCCAATCTGAAATAGATGATTACAAATCCTTTTACTCGTTGCAATAACTACAATTATCAAATACCAATACAAATCACCCATTGATTATTTTTAAAGTGAATTCAGTATTATAGGGTATTATAATATGACAGTCATAAAATTGATATTCAGTAAAATATTGTTTGTTTCATAATTTCATTGTTGATTCTTTAAAAGAGAGGTTACGGAGATGGTCATCATTATTTAGCAAGAATGCTTATTGTACGTAAACAGAATAGCATGTTCCGGTACAAATTACTGTGTTGCTGTCTTAAGTAGGTTTTTAACAAATTAGCAATGATTCTTGCATGCACCATTCCTTCTTAAAGAAATATAAAAAAACATAAATTATTTATTTCATACAGTTATTTTGAAAGTAATTTTTATAAAATCTAAACAATATGTTGTAAAATACAGACAGCAGACATATGCATTTATAAACTTTTATAAATTTCTGTATACGTATGGCATTCATTAAAAGGTAACTAAGAACAAACAAGAAAATAGGGATTTAAAAAAGGCTTTAACTTAAAAAAAATTGAGCTTATAAATCAGGAAAATAGTCCAATATTTTAACGACCTATTTTTCGTGAGACTTAATAAAGGTAGAATGTTGTATTTACCAGAATTGCTGTATAAGAGTTGCCAAGCCGCTAAGAAGGACCGTTAGTGTCCCTAACTGTATGGATACAGCTAAAACGAAATATATACAAGTTAATCTATTATCTAACGAGACAAAAACTAAATTCCTGTCGTTTTATTAAATTCGTTGAAATGTATAAATTGCACTTGAAATCCTGAATAAGCAAACTCTAACTCTTGCACCTTAAATGTCTTATTAATTGTTAATTAAAATATAAGTGAAATTGATTTAGGTCGGATCTTCTAATTTCTTTAATTGTTCTCCTTATAAAAACAGCTAAGACTGAATATTTGCTACGGGGATAAAACTTTTGATATCATTGACAACGCCACGTACAATTGAATTTTTTGCACAAGTTATCATAGTTTCTTCCCATCGTGTACACAAAGCAAGTAAAAGTTACCTCTTATAATACAGGATTATTAATTAATTACTGTAAAAACTAGATAACATTAAGGACATGGTAATAACCCTTTACCTGCTGGAATTGAAAGTTTGTTATAAGTATAGAACCTACATGCACATCTTTTCAGTTTGACCAGGCTCCATATTTTTGGTAGACAAACTAGCTCCATTTATTTTATTTTCAGTGGACTGTTCCAAAATTAAAGCATGGGAAATCAATAACAAAAATTCAGTAGCATAAGGGACAATTGTATCTTATATTTACCTGAATTCTCCGCGGTACACGTGTCAACATTCATGACATACCCGGCGTCGCATTTACATTTGTCAGTGTTACAATGAGAATTTTTAATATTTTCACATTCTTTTCCATTTTCTGAGCAAGTTGTTCCACTTACAGTTTTAAAAATAATAAAAAAATATTAAGAAAATTTCCAAAAATTTATTTATGAAACATATATGTAAAAATTCATTTTTTTTTCAAAAAAACTTTTAAATTTCATTTTTTGAAGTCATAAAATTTTTTTTCTCTTCCAAAAAAAGCGGTTATTAAAATCTTTAAATAAAGCATAAATTTTTTAAAAAATTTCATTTAAAATTTTTAATAGGTTTTAATTTTGGAAAAAAAAAACATTTTAATATGACCTTATCCAAATCCGAAAATTTTTCTTTTCCCAATTGTTTTCAAAAAATAACCCAAAGCCTATTACAATAGCAGTCAATGAATTTGGCAGTTATTCACATTAATCATGAACATAATCAATCAAACCGAGTCTGAAATTTTCATGTCATTTTGTTGAATTAATGCTTCCGTCGGATAACAATTTTTCTAGATTTTTGTTTGCACACAAACCTAAGAAAAAGAGGACGCCTTTTAGTCGAAGAACATCCCACACTTACAAACATTGAAATATTTTACAAACTTGCCTGGCATTAAAAGACATTTGATAGCTTTTACTTTTGAATTGCAAATTTGAATAAAAAAGGCTGCACAAAATTTATTAGATTTTGATTAATATGTAATTTAATTATATATCGAAATAATATAAAACTTACTTTTAACGCATTTATTATCTTTTTCTCCAGAATCAGCTTTACATGAACATTTGCCTATCAGTTTCCCAAACCCGCTTCTTTTCCCCTTTTTTGTGCAAATTTACCGTTTAGCCCCCGCATGCCCCTCCGAGACCCAAAAATGATTTATAAAAATCTATTGGTAAAAAACAAAGGGAGGCAAAAAAATTTTAATTTTCAAAAATAATTGCAGTTTTGTTTTTAAATTTTCATTTTTTAAACATCAACGTTAACAAAAAGGTAATATATAAAGAACACAACCGTGAATCATGTTTTTATTTTATTTACTTTTCTTTTTTTTATCTGGAACTTTATATTTGTAATTTACATAATATACAATTAAATAAATGTAACTTATCAAACTTGGGTTGAGAAGAAAAGTAATTACAAATGTTCTATCTAACTGAAATAACATATATTAAACACGTTTATTTTGTTTTCACTAACCTTTCACACAGGTGCTACCATCCGTTTTATCCTCTATAAACCCGTCAGAACATTTGCATTTAGAATCAGTATTAGCATTGTCACATTCTGCATTCGGAGTATGCTTACACTGGTCTGAGGCATCTTTAGTACAACCTGTTTCTGTCACTTTTACTATAACACATGATTTGGAACAAAGTAATTTAAGTACAAAAGAAATTTTATTGACTTTTATTCTTGTTCATTCTGTAGTCCAAAAAAGTACAGCACAGAGAGTTTTTTGTTGCTTAAGAAAATACCAAATGCAATCCATAAATGAAACAGATCTGATACACAAGAACAAAATTGCTGCCGTTTAACAAATCTCTTTCAGATCATTTAGTCGTGGTCGACCAAAATCCTGTTTATCTGATTTTGTTAAAATAAACACGTTTCGTTTTAAAGTTAACATGTCAGTTGTGTTACACTTAAACAATATCACCATGCATAGAAAAAATATATTTATACTTCTAAGGATGATATCGCAAATATATCAAAATAAAAGTTTTGACGTGTTATCATATAAGATATCATATGATATGAAAAAGGAAAGACAGCCCCATCCCAAACAAACCCCGGCAACACCGCAAAACCGTCACGATACCCATCAAGGGACCGAACAAACTCAAGAAAATACACAAGAACACAACAAAGTAGAGACGCCACTCCAGCTAACAATTGAATTTAGGAAGGCTTACGAAACATAGGCAACAAATACATTTGTTACAGTTTTCAAAGAAATACTTATTTGCTGTACATACATAATTATGAATATAAATGTAAGCTCTGTTTGAAAGCAGTATATTTATTTATAGCGAATCAGTATTTTGCATTGAAGTCAAAACATTTCTGTGTTTACATTTTGCTAACTTTATGTCACATTACCTTACATCCTATACCATTTTCGTCAGTTGTTAAACATATAACAAGCTCTTAATTCGTTTTTCAAACACTACTTTTTGCTTTTTCTAAAAAATTAAATATATTGATTTCTGGGGCGTAACATGCCATCAAGACCATCCCGCTTATCCACTGTCAAGACCACAAGTTTCAGTCCCAAATCTTTGTTTTATTCATTATTCGACCATTTTTCAAGACCACTGATAATCCAGTCAACACTTATTTAGATTACACGTTTGTTGGTTTTCTTAACTTGAAGGCATGTCACTTAATGTAACAATTTCTCAAAACTAATTGGGTAATTGTGTAAAAGGTATGCCAATAACTTGCTTAAACGTTAATTCGTAAACTTGACAAAGCAATCATTTAAAAGAAGAGATGGGAATTTACAAACTGCAACACAGACTCACATGGTTTAATGGTTGACATAACAATTAAAAGAAAAATATTTGTCACAGGAGACAGCGGCTTTCGATTTATAAAATACTGGACACAGTAACGGAAGACAAAATGAAAAAAAAAATCAAGTATTACATACATATAATTATGCATCGGTGTCAAGAAAGCACTGAAATGTTCAGTATTTTTGCACCTTATAATATGCATGTGACCATGTCAAAAAAGATAAAACAGACATTTCTATATTCTAATGGAAAGGACAACAATTTGAAATCTGAAGTCAATCTCTTCAGTAACACAAATAATAAGAGCAAAAAGTATTGGAATTGTAATAGTTTATGATCAAAGAGGAAATAACTATTCACTATCTTGAAATGAAGATGCTGAAGTTATGAATCTTGTCATGCATAATGTGAGTAATGACAAAGCTAAATTATTTGAAGTCTAGAGTAGATACCATTTATTATAAGAATATAAGTATTTTCAAATGAATTCCAAGTCCGTAGATAATTCTGAAGCTGAAGTGTCACATACGACAAAAGTGTTGATAACAAACTTATTCTATCGAACGGGAAGTGACAATGCGAAAACACGAAGTGACGCTCAACAATACGAAGGGACATTCGACAACGCGAAGCGACATTTTTTAAATGTCGCCGCTTTTAACATAATATTACTAAACGACATGGCGATATTTCGTTTGACAATGTCGAGCGTCGCTTCAACTTGTCGAGCTTCGCTTCGCGTTGTCGAGCATCGTATCGCATTGTCGCTATGTCACTTCTCATTGTCGTGCGTCGACCCTTAAACGCGACGGGCGACACGTTAAGGACACCGTTTCCCATTTTTTTACCCAACCCTTTTTTCACTCTTACAGCCCTGATCTCATTAATACCCATATGGGCCCGTGTTAGTTTTTATTATTTCACACATTGCGTGTCCGTCTCACTCTCGGTTTTGATTTGGTGCTTTCTGTGTGCCCTGCTTGGGTGTGACTGGGAGGGGCTCCATCCTGTGAACGAAACTATTGCCTTGTTGATATCTATTCTCGTCGGTATGTTGGTAATCATAAAAAACGAATATTTGAAATTTGAAGTAGATACCTTAAGACATGAAGAAGAGTATAAATCACATTTTTTATAATAAATCCTTAGTTCAAATGGGGGATCATTCCGGAAGAAATTTGTGCTGTAGTTATGTCTCTTGTCATTTGTCATGTGTTTGATGCTAAGGAACATATAATATTTTAGAAATCGAGAAGTTATAGTAAAAAATAACATTTTAATAAAAGATCTAAGTTCACGAGGAGATATTTCTAAAAATATTTTAGCAAGAGTTTTAGAACCTTGCCACATATGATGTGGTTGATGATAAGGAACATAAATTTGAAGTTTGAAGTTGCTCCCTTAAGAAAATTAATAAAGAAGTAAGAGTTTTTAGGAAAGAAATCTACGTTCATTAGGAGATACTTCTAAAAATAGTGTAGCAAAAGTTATGAACCTTAGATGTGAAGTTTAAAGTTGATACCTTAAGAAATAAAAGAGTAATAGTAAAAACAAATTACTACACCAAAAGTGTCATCTCAAATCTGAACGCCGACAGGAACGCAGACGTTAGGACAGCGCTCAATATACCAAAATGCCTCTTTTAAATTTTAACGTAGGTTGTTCTGCTTTTAACATTTTTTATCGTTTATCAAATAATAGTGCAATATTTTATATAAAATAAACAAATATATTAGCTAAATAGGAGGATTGGAAATTTAATTTCTTATTCAAAAGTTTTCTAAAATATTCCTTACTATTTGAACTTACCAGAAAATATGTTTATCCAATTTTTCATAAACTTTCCCCCCGAAAGCATGTCAGAAATTGTATGCAATGTTGCTCAAAACCATTTTGGCATACAAAGTCAGTGTAACCTTGACCTTTGATCCCGCAATACAAAATTCAAAAGGAGTCCACAACTGCCTAAGACCAACACATTATTGAAGAATTAGTGCCTAGGACCCCTTTATTGTTAAAATATTGGTCAGAAACCGTTATGACAGACCTTTGACCCTGCAGCCATAAAATCAATAGAGTTCAACTTCTTGCTTAGCAAGATGTACCTTGCGTTTAGAGGTTGTCCATTTATTGTTCGGAAATCGTTTTGAAATACAATGTAAATATGACCTTGCCCTGATCTAAAATTCAAAAGGGATTATCTTCTGGTCCAGAACAATCCTGTGAAGTTTAAGGGCCAATGGCCCATGGGTTGTCGAATTGTGGCTGGAAACAATTTATCCGCACAACGTCATTGTGACCATGTCCATTGACCCAAAAGTCGATAAAAGTCAAAAATGGCCAAGATCAAAACACATATTAAATTTGGTCGCAAATTTGTTGTGAAACTATTGGCCAGAAACTGTTTTCACATAAAATGTCAATTTGACCTATGATCCAATGACCTCAACGTCAACAGGGTCATCTATTGGCAAAGGCAAATACAATGATCAGGGCTAAGGTCAAATGGATTGTTGATGTATTGGTCGAAAACTATTTTAACATAAAGTTCAATATGACCTTTGATCCCTGAACCCCAAATCAATGGGGGTCATTTGCTGGCCAAGATCAATGAACTTGAAAAGTTTCAGGGCAAATGACCTATTGAATCTTAAGTTATTAGTCAAAATCTGCTTTGATATATAAGGTCAATATCACCTTGATATTTTGCCCTTTGACCCAAACATTAATCGGGGTCAGCTACTGGTAATGACTTATTTAAATGCCAAGTTTGAAGTTCCTAGATTTATTTAGTTTAGTTATTGATTGGTCGGGAAACGGGTTAGTCTTCAGACCGATTGACTTACTGACCGACCGACAAGTGAAATAGAATAAAATAAAGGCTACGTAAGACTATCATAAGTTTGTAGAAGATGATCATTCCCACCATAAAAAAGGCAATTCTGCATTTCGAGCATGCACCCTAACAATGTGTGTTTGCCCTTGATTGACAGAGCTGATTTTTGTGAGTACTTAGTGCAATTAATAATCGTGTTCTGGGAGTTTTAAGTAATTGCTGGTAGACAACTTTTTTTATTTTATCAGTTTCTTGCAACAGTTCCAGGTAGCAGGCTACACGGCAATAATGACAATCAAACAATTTCAAATATTTAATTTTACTTACTTTTCACACAGGTTTTACCATCCGTTATATCTTCTGCATAACCATCAGAACATTTGCATTTAGCACCAGTTTCCACATTGTCACATTCTGCATTCGGAGTATGCTTACACTGGTCTGTAGCATATTTAGTACAACCTGTTTCTGTCACTTTTCCTATGTCATGTAATTTGGAACAATTTATCACTAAAGCTACATGCCTCAAGATGAGATAAGAAAATCAAACTTCAGAAAAATGTACTCAGATTTTCAGAAATGTAAAAAGATTTACGATAAAAGTAATAATTTCCATGTAATGTAATGTAATGTAATGATCCATTTATAACCGATTTTGGAGTATTTTTAACGCAGTAAGGCTTTTTCGTATATTTTGACCTTTTTTTTGGTAAATTACATGGATTGTAAGTGCGGTTTGCAATATGTAAATCATTTTAATTTTTCATTTCACAATCTTTTGCTTTTTGATACTTTTAGCAGACATCTGGAGGCGTGCTGCTTTAAGTAATGTAGTAAACAGCAAAAGCAAAATTTAAATTTGAATTTTATCGAAATGAGCGTGAAAAATACAAAACCGATGGAATAAAAAGTCATAATGTCTGAAAAAAATAAACATGGAGTCATTGATCGATGAATGGAAATTGTGTGTTTCAAAATATTTTAAAACGGCCATGACACTGGTAAATGCACGTTAAAGCTTACATGGAAGCAAAAGTTTACAGACAGTTCCAAAAAAGAACACAAAAATTACAATTATATTATTTCTTAACTTAAAAGCTAATAGCATTGATATTCTGTTTATTTAAAGTCACAAGAGTATCAAAACCGATTCATTTTAGTTTGTTTGGTTGGTATGTTTTACGGTGCAACAACAGTTTAGGTCATATTATGCAGTTACAGAAAAGACAATTTTGGCTAATTTCGGGTGTTAAATTTAGAGATGATTAGACTCCATTTATCTTAAACCACTCAGTGGCCTTTAACGATCACGCAGTGATAACGGTGGCTACAATTCTGATGCCTTTAAACATGTTAAAGGCAATTTCCAGTTAAGGGGAAACCGATGTGTAAATATTATAATAAAAGTGATTTTGCAAAATCAAAATTTAGTTAGTAGCACAAAATATAATTAAGAAATGTCTTTTTAATTTAAGATGTACAAAAACAACATTGTTTCAAGAAAAATGTTGAGCCCATTTTGCACACAGGATATGAATTGTGAAAAAAAGGAAACGCCACTTAGCAAAACAAAACGAAATGTAAGGAGTGACAAGTTTCATGACTGATAATTGGGTTTCTACTAATATTTACACATTATATCTGTATTGCAGCATTGATGGAAATAAATTATAAGTTTTAATGTAAAAATGGAATTAAATTATTTACATTTTTTACTACCTGTGCTTAATTGCTGATACGTTTTCTTAAAGTATTTGTACAAATCATATTTACCAGAGGTGTCTGCATCACAAACATCTACATTCATGACAAACCCATCATTACATTTACACGAATTTGTGTCACATTGAGAGTTTGAAATGCTGTTGCATTCATTTCCATTTGCGTCACAAGTTGTTCCACTGACAGCTATAAATAATGAAAACAAATCTTTTACATCGTATTTAAATATTAACACTTATTTATTTTTATAATGTTCACTATACTTAAAATAATTGATATATGTTCCGAACCTGCCTTCGTTATTTTCTCAGATAATTATTATATCAAACATACATTCTGCTATGCTTAAATGAGTAAACGTACTGCAATTTTCTTTTTAAAAATGCGGACAACTGGAAGTAAATGTTTAATATTTTACATAAATAACTATAGAGGAACATTTGTTACTTTGTATTTCAGCAAATTCTGGTCAATGTCATTTATTAAAGAAATTCACAATCGCTTTAGGTAATTTAAGCTTTCGTTAGAATTGAAACATGACTTTAAGTCAATATGACCTTGACCTTTGACCCCAAAGTCAATAAGGGTTATCTATTGGCTAATGTCAATACAATATGAATTATGCGGGTTAGGGGCCCAAGGGTTCTTGTGTTACTGGCCGGTCACTGTTTTGATATGAAATGTCAATGTGCTTATTTTATAAAATCATACAGATAACTCATTACTGTAACGTTATATTTCCTACGTTTTTACTTGTAATTTGAAATAATTGAAATGCATTCTTTTGTACAATTTTTCAGTCACTTTTCCTATGACCTGTGATTTGGTACAAATTATCTTTTAAGTTACATAATTTTAGCGATAATCATTATTTTGTATATCATTTTCAAATGGATACCACCTGTAAAGAGTTTCTCGATGTCTTTTTCATTGGATAAGAGGTATTGTTTTTTTTAATATAGTCAGTTAATAGATGAATCGTTATTTGTACACTGGAACAAAATTGCTGCCATTCAGCAATGGTTTTCACAATTTCTCACTTAAATCATTACTTTCCTCCAAAACGTTCGGACCTTATCTGTTTTATTTATTTATTTGACAGATTGATGTGTTTATAACTAATATTTTTGACAACAACAGTGTTTCCCTTGTTGGACTCCATCTTGTTTACTTTATTGCAGACACCTTCATTTGATGTCTTTCCGTCAATGAATATACCAGCGTGGGTTAAAATGGCAAAATAATTCTTCACGTTATCAAATAAAGTAACCTGACCGACTGTACTTGTTAGCAAAATTAAATACTCCTACCTTATAACAGTGAAAGGTTTGTTTAAGTTTAGTAATTGAATAAAGTAGGCAGAGGCGTCCTTACGGTAAGCCAACTGTTAGAGGGGTTAAGGGGCTGGCAACAACAAACTTCTCTTTAACCTGGAATGCCAGAGGCGCGAGTTGTGTTTGTGTATATTATGTACAATAAAAAACTGTAGATTTGAAATTATTAAGAACAATATAAGTAGTTGTATGCAGACAATTAAATTATTTTTATTTTATGGAACATTGCAGGTCGCGACTTTCACATCTAAAATTAACTATGCCACTGATAAGCAGTCAAACAAGTTCAGATATTGAATTTTACTTACTTTTCACACAGGTACTACCGTCCGTTCTGTCCTCTGCAAATCCGTCAGAACATTTGCATTTAGAATCAGTTTCAGCATCGTCACATTCTGCATTTTGAGTATGCTCACACTGGTTTGCTGTACCTTTTGTACAACTTGTTTCTGTCACTTTTGCTTTAATACATGATTTAAAACACTATGAATAAAGACCTATCCTATCGTTCCCATAATTTGTTTAAAGATAAAAAGGAATTATTTAGCTAGCAGACACAATTGCTTTAAACAGTAAATCTTTCTAAATTGATGTTTAATGTCAGTTATCTGACTCTGAATATGAGTTTCTTGTTTACTCTTACAAGTGATTTTCAAGAGAAAATAACTCAAAATCAAACATACTGACATCATCTAACTTTTCAAATTATCCTTTGTTGTTTTTTCTTAAATTCTTAAATTATTAGTTCGAAATAATTATATCCAGCCTACATTTTGATTTGCTTCAATGAGTAATTTAAAACGTACTACAACTTTCGTCAGAAAAAAAGGGATAACTTGAAGTATATGTTTATTACCTAATACAAACAACTACTAAAGAAAATATATTGCGTTGAATTGCAGCAAATTTCGCACAACGCCAGGGAATAAAACAATTTAACCTAAGTATTGCACGCTACAGAATTGAGCTGCATGCTCAGGGTTATGATAATAAACAATTAAAAATTGACTTTCTTGGACAAACAATTCTGTTTTCATTATTACCGGTATTCTTTTTATCATGCAAAGCTTAAAACACAATTGTCCTCTTGCTTTTATATATTCCTACCAAATTTGATACAGTTATGAATTATTCTCTGAAAAAAATAATGTTCACGTCTTTCATTTTTGTCGCCAAAAATTAGAAAAGAAGATTGGGAAAAAGGAAACAACACTTTAATGTTGTAAATCATTTAAATCAGAACTGGAAGTTTGCAAATATTTTTGTTCTAGATAAATGATCTATTTGTTGAAGGCTTCGGGCAATTACTTGTGTGCGAAAGTTCGCATTCTTCCCTTACTCCGTTATTTTTTCCAGTATGTTTATAAGAATTTTGAAAGTGACTCAAAATTGAAAAGCGATGCAACGCTTTATACAAATTGTTAAAAAATAGCACATCATACGATTTTCAAAGCAAACAAACAACTCGTTTCTTTCATCAACTTAAGAATTATAGCTGTACTTGTTTTATCTTTACATAGCTTTAGATGTTGTAGATAAAAGCTATATTTTTGAAAAAAAATAAATGATTAAAAACAAACGAAAGAATAGCAATACCTGAATTAATTTTGTTTATTGAGACGGTATATTTCAGTTTTGATGAAATATTAACACATTTGGTTCACAAAACCCGTCAGATATTTTCACCTATTAAATTAAATGGCGAATCGCATATTTTTAACAACAAATTATATACATAATACGGTGTTCCATTTGGCAATCGTGATTTTTTTATTTAGTCTGTACCTGCGATGCACGATGGTACGATGGTGAAAACGCGATGGCACGATGGTACGATGATGAAAACCCGATGTTACAAGATGAAAGCGCGATGGCACGATGGGGAAATTGCGATGGTACGATGGTGAAAACGCGATTGCACGATGGTGAAAACGCGATGGTACGATGGTGAAAACACGATAACACGAGAGTGAAAACACGATGGCGCGATGGTACGATGACGAAAACGCAATCATACGATATTGAAAACGCGATAAAGCATCGCGATTTCACCATCGTACCATCGTGTTTTCACCATCGTTCCATCGTGTTCCCATTATCGTGTCATCGTACCATCGCGTTTTCACCATTATAATACCGTAAAATTTGACCAGTTTTAAAAGTAACAGATTGGGTCAAATTGATAATATATTTTTGAGACCATATACTCGGATAATACTAAAAGATATTCAGATGTAGCAGAAACCACCGTTACACGATCGAAAATATGCGCAACAATCTGCGGCCCCGTTCTCGAATTTCTATGGATCTGAACTTTAGTAAGATTGCCGGAAAAGAACCAGTCACATATGGAGGGCGACGGAGCACAAGTTCTACTTTTTATAGAAAGTTATAGGTAATGAAAGCCTGCAACAAATTTCCTTGCTCGGTATTATGATAAACTCTCTTTTGTATATTAAATTTTATAATTTAAAATTTATAATTTAAAGGTTCATACCTGCTGTTAAACAGTGTAGAGACACTATGCCAATGAATATCGTAATAAGTGTATAATTCTGAAACAATAAATGAATAAATAAATAAATAAATAAATAAATGAGTAAGTAAATAAATTAATAAATAAATAAATAAATTACTATACGAGAAATAGGTAACACGCACTGAATCAGATTTAATAAATTCATCTTCGACACTATTTAAAGGCATATTATGCCTAAGAATGCCATATCTTTTTTTAAGTCTTTGGAAAGGTTGAAAATGTGTTTTGTAATGTTTAAAGAAGGGCTTTAGAGCATATTAAATGTTTAACAACTAAAGACAGAAGCACTGAATGTGCGAGAATTTGCCGTAAGGTTATCGCATGGTTGGAACTTTTTTTGTTCATCAATTGTTTTTAGCAGAAACAGCCCTCGATGTCGCGACCGAGACAATGTTTTTCCCAGATACATTCCGAGATGTCGCTGTAGCCAGTGTTTTTCCTCTTAACTGACTCATTTCATATACTATAACTTTTTCACTAAAGAGCAAATGTAAACAAATAAGTATTTTGACTCCATACAAAGTACTAGTTATTTTTAATAATTATACTGATTGTCAACGGAGCAGAAGTAGCAAAAGATAGTTCATATATATGGCAAATGAGTATTTTAAAACAATAAAATGTTTTTGGAAAATAAAATTGATAGCATTTATTCTGAGACATAATATGCGTTTAAGTATAAATGTCCAGTTTGTTAAAAAATTGCAACAATGCGCATGCAAGAAAATGTTTGTTTTATTAGTAATAGAACGGAATAATTACATGCATTGTTAATCGTTTCTTGAATTTCTTGAATATCATAAAGGTTTAATTAAGTTAGTTTTATGCATGCATTTCCTTTAATGCTTATTAATTGAAAGAAACATTTCCTGCGTTATTTCAGATAAAATTTAACGAATAAAATGATACCCTATTTGAATGATTGAAGCTTCTTAGTATTAAAACATCAGAACAGTATTATGCTACTAATATCAAGAAGATGAGCTGATCAAAATAAAACGACATTCTTTTTGTTAAATGACACTGGATATTTATGACAATATATAAAGATCCTGTATGTTGTAATTGATGTAATTGATGTTGTATACCACACTAAAGTGAAAAATATATATGCATACAATTATGCCTATAAAACAATTTTCAAACATTGAAGTTTATGTAGAATATGTACTGCAAATATTTGTATATATTATATATAATCATTAAAATATATGCATTCATTTCTTATTGGAAAATTTGACTTAGACTTTATAGAACATAATTTTTTATTACCTCCCTTTATTTACAGGAAATGTTGAATTCGGTAATATCTTTATAAATAATGCTTTTTGGAACTTACAAAATTGATAAATCTTAATTTTAGAATCATATTCATGATATAAAACCATTAAAGAATTGTGTTACTGTATCTTTAATGTCATTTGATCATTCATTTGGTCGTTTATACAAAAATAACTATCTTAGAATTCCATCGTTGTGAAAACGTCTTTTTACTGATGTTAATTTTACCAATAAACTCAACTATAACTGAATTAGAAAGATAAGAAGGGTTAAAAAAGCGCGTGTGAATAAATATTTTACTTGGGAATATATATTAAACTAGAAATAACGTTTTGTTATTTTCAAGTTACTCAGACGAAATATATTAAAAACCTGTCGGATTGCTTTTTGTCTATTATTTTACAGACTGCATAACTAGATTTAAAGTAAAATAAATAAATAAGTAAGTAAATAAATAATATAAGGAATAAATAAATAAATAAATAAATTTATAAGAAAAAACATCATCAACAATAAACGAAACAAGAAGAAAAACGCAAAAAAGAAGAAAATAATAATGATAATGAAATAAATAAATAAAACTTATTATCATACGTAAATAAACACGTTTTAAAATAAGGAATGTATGAATATAGTACCTAGTATGTGATATCAGTATTCTAACAATTCTCTTCAATTGTTATACGTAATTGTGGCCTAAAACTTGCAATCTTTAGTTTACAATGGAGATATTTATTACCTTTTCAAAAGTAAAATGAAGGGAATAATGGATAAAAGGTTAAATATTAAAAACTAAAATAAAAAAAAAGAAATGATAACAAAACTTGCCATGATTAGTCCTCCTCTACTTCTCTTCTAGTTCATTGTAACATCAGAACATGGTTACCCGTATTTATACATCATGTAATCTGGGAACCACGGATAATGGTCACATGGTCCATGTTGTAAATCATTTAAGAATACGTTGGCAGTTTTTTAACAGCCACCATCATTAATCTTCAGGGTGTTTGTTTGCACAAAGAAGAAATATTGTGTGAGTGCAAATTAACAGTAAACCTTTTCTGTGTCGAACTTCGATTAGTTAGTTTTCTAACGTGTCCTAAGTCCAAACTAGACCTAGCCTATCATATGCACGGTAATCTTTTATAAATTATAAATATCAAGTGCATTGTCCTACGTTTAAAGTTTTCGGGAACATTGTTTGAAATTTGTGAAATTTGCTAATTCACACGAGACGGTATGTTTTTATACCAAAATGAATGAAAATAAGCTTTCTACCTTCGCAAAAAACACAAAACCAAGCATAATATTGACATCTTATAACGTAAAAAGCCAGATACAATCTTACTGAAAGATCTGTTGAGTAAACAAGTTATTTGCAGATGTATAGTAAGTAAAATGAGCTATGTCTGCATAGTTAGTCACATGATAAAACAATAGTAAGTTTCACGCATGATAACATATATTCACATATACATTGAAAGGATATAAATTTGTACTTGTAAAGTTTTAAAAAATAAACCCTTTATTTCATGATCAAATATTTTCCTTTGTTTTCTAAAAAACGACTGCTTAATCAGTTGTTTTTGTAACAAATGTAATCATCGGTACATGTTTCTGGACGCCATTGTCACGAATTATGCCATACATTCCTTAATGTATCTCTTACGTTTCTACGTTAAGTTCCCCTCCGTGAGAGTTTAGCTATTTGGTTTGTTTATTGCATTGTTGGCCTTTACAAACTAGTATTAATCATGACTGATTTTAATCATTTAAAATTAAACACATGATGGAACATATTAAATATTTATACAATTTTCTAAGTTGATCACGAAAACAAAATCTTCATTTATACCTTTGATAAGTCTAGCATTCTATATTCATATTTTTTTAATTGCTGTAATAATCAAAATAAACATCAATTTAAGGGTCAATATAAATGCTTAAATCAAGCAATAATCTTATTTTTCACTTTAAGTTAGTTCATATCGCAAATTGAATTCGTGTGAATAAATGATGGCCAGGAGACTTTTTGAGTTTTGAACTATTATCCTCCAAAATGAACTACAAAAATGCAAAATGGAACATCCTGCAGGCTCGGTCTAAAATTATGTCTAGATAATTATTATATAATAAATATAAGAACGCCCCTTTGAGATACTGATGACAAATATTACCGGGTTTCTTATCGCATCCTCTTTCTTTTTATCAAATCTGACATATACCTGTTTCGGTAAACCATTTTTTTTTTCAAATATGCTTTTCCTTGCCTTTTGTCATTTAAAGGTATGGTTTAAGTTTAACTTAAATTGTCTGTATAATACAAGTAAAATTTATTGTTAATATTATCTTTTGTATTTATAAAATGTAAAAATATAATTATGAAGTTTTAAATGATTTTTAAAATTTGTCGAATATAGATCTTATACCTTAACTGCAAAGCCATAATTGAAAAAAACATTGCAAAATAAATATATTTAAACACGTTGAAGCAAAAGTTTTAGCAGAAAAAAGGCAAGATGGAATGGCCCATCAAAAAATTGCAGTTTGATATTTAGTTGCCACCGAATAATTTATATTACGGCAAAGAAAAAATAACGACTGTGTAGAATAAACACTTTAAAATGAGAAGACACATAAATACTGTGCATTGATATAAAATAACGTCATAAAATTCCCCAGGAGCTGTTAAAATAAAACTCGTATTTGAAAATTTGTTTGATTTGTTTCAGCTTTTGAAAAAGTAGTTTTATGATAATTTTTGCCTACAATGTTGATTTATTGCATTCAGGATTAGAAGAAACAAAGATCACAATTTAATTACCTTGTAAAATAGCAAATGTCTGGGAGGTTTGATTAAAAACGAAAGATAAGTACAGTGTATATTGGTTTTTACGCTATAAACATCTCCCAATGATGTATAATAACAAAAAATTGAGTAAAGATCACTTTACTCAAATGTTAAGTTCAAATCTTCATTGTCACAGGATCATTTTTAGATAATCCTTTGTTTAGAAATGATTTGTAAATTGGCTGAAAAACAAAAAAATAAATTAATAAACAGTTTATCTTATTATTATTTGTACGTAATCATGGATTGTTTTCAACAATATTAAAACTTTGTAACCTGAATGCCTATTTTGTACACAAACTGATTCAGCTTTATCAAATGATTGAATAATTATTGTAGTGTTGTGTTTGTATTTGCGTTGACAAGTTTGACATAAATTTAACTTGATCGTTAATATGTTTCTGTGACAGCAAGTGCCCTTTTATTGTGACATGTTTTATAATTCCTATAATACTAAGAGTTACCTAATAGCAATGTTGGCAAATAATTATATAGCAATTATATGATGAATTCTGAAGAACAGCTAAATCCCCTTCCGCAGTGAACCTTTTACAAGGCACGACCTTGATGTAATGTCATACATATCATAAGCACATAGTCTCGTGATGGTGATTATTTGTGCCATGTAAGTTAAAATCTTCCATAAAGTAAACAAAATTATGGAGTACATATTACCTTGACCTTGGAGGTAGCAACCTGGATGTTGAACAGATTGTGTCATGGTGATGATCATTTGTGCCAAGTTATTTTAAAACAGTTGAAGTGTCAATAAGTTATAGAGCGGACATGAAAAATAGATCTGTTTTACATTTGATTCAAGTGTGACCCTGACCTTCAGGGTTGTGACTTGATTATTTAACTCTGCCAATGGTGTCATAATGGTGATCATTTCTGCCAAGGTATCTTAACAAGAGGGCCATGATGACCCTGAAATCTATCTCCTGTATATAGGCCCCTAGTCAAAGGCCAATTTTAAACCGGGGGATTGCACAAATTTGGTAGACACTCATTAAAGATGTTCCATAATAAATATCTAAGCTCTGACTCTTTGGGTTTTTTTAAAAAGAAGATTTTAAGTTTTTACTTTGACGAACAAATGTTATTCCATCAGACTGGACTGAAACTGATCCTTCTCCAAGATTTAATGCATGCAAGTCGCTGACCCTTCGAAACGTCGTAATTGCTGTAAAAAATTTATAAGTAACATATTTTAGTGATGTTTTCAACAAAGGTTCAAAGGGATATTTTTGAATAGCTTTTAAAGCTTTTGGTTAATCCCATTTAGGCAAAGGTGTAATTACAGGTGGTCTCAAATTTAACACTCCTTTTAAAAATCTAATAATGAAAGGACGTTGTCCAATGGAAAATTTACCTTTAGGTTGTAAAACCGAGGATAGCATAAATCTATATCCCGCTATTGTTTTATATTTTAAACCATCATAATATAAGGAGGCTAGAAATTCTGCACAGTCATTTAGAGATGCTGAAAAAGTATCACTTTGTTTGCTACTACACCAGCAACTGAATCTGTTAAATTTGGAAGCATACGCTTTTTGTGTTCCAGATCTCCAACTGACTTTGAGCAGTTTTCTAACTTTCTTAGAAAATCCTTTTATTCTAAATTGTCTGTTTATAACAGCCATGAAGTCCGTTTGAACACATCCGGAACTGGATGAAATATTTGTGATTTTGTTTGCTGTAAAAGTTTTGGCCACGCTGGAAGTTTGATTGGATTTGCTACTGGCATTTGTAACAGAACTGGACATCGATGACGTCTGAGCCAAAATGGTGCAATTGAAATTATCTTGCAATGAAAGTGTTTCATGTGTTGTAAAACTCGAGGTTTAAGACATATGGGACGGAAGGCATATGCATACATCCTTTTGACCTTTAACCATATGTATCAACATTTTTAGAGCAAGGAATACTGCTTGCATCTCCAGACAATTGATTTGAAGAGTTTTCTGGCTGTTTGGCCAAAAACCTTGAATCATTTGAGTACACAGACAAGTTCCCCACCCGCTCATCGAAGCATCGGTTTGGAGTGTTAGATTCGCTGACCATGGTAGAAAAGATTTGCCCTGTAAAACATTTGCTGGCTATATCCACCATGTCAGATGTTTTTGAAGGTGTTTGGTCACGGAATTAGAAATTCTAGGTCTCTTTTACTCGGTTTCCAAAAGGAAAGAAGATGGAACTGAATTGGTCTAATGTATAAACGAGCATCTTTTATATTTCCGATGCATGACGCCATTAGACATAGAATGTGTAAATACTCTCTTGCCGTAGAGTGAGTTTTCTTTAATATTGTTTTGAATTCCTTTAGAAATCTTTATTTGTCTGTCTGAAGTTGGAGACACTGCACCTTGTTTGAGGCTATTGCCTATGTCAGTTATACATTGAGTTGGTTGAAGAAGTGACTCTTATCATGAAACCTAAATGAATGAGGACACTTATCATTCTCGATAGATTTAGTGTAAAGAATTCAGTCCCAACCAATCGTCTAGATAAACTGCTAGGCGGAGATTTTGCTGTCGTAAAAATGCTGCTACAACAGCTACTACTTTAGTAAAAACTCTTGGAGCAGAAGTTGGACCAAATAGGAATGAAGTCCATTGATACGCTTTGCTGCTCACTGCAAATCTTTAACATTTTTATGGTTTGGAAATATGGGAATATGCATATACGCATCTTTCAGATCTATCGAGATTGCAAAGTCTCCTTTTTGAATTAAATTCAGAACTGTTTTCATGATATCCATTTTGAAAGGTTGTTTTCTGAGATACTTGTTGAGAGGGTTGAGTTTGATTACTGGTCTTAAATCTCCAGTTTTCTTGGGTACTAGAAACACTGTACTCTAGAAACCTTGATTCGTACCTTTCTGAGGAACTTCCTCTATACAATTTTTTTCTTTTGGCACAATTGTTTTGCGAATACCGTTGAATTTTGGTTTTTCTAGGAGTTCTAGTTTGTAACCTTGACACCCTGTATCTTGTACCCATTGATCGTTTGTGATTTGATTCCATTGATTCCACCTTATACGACCCCCAGCAGGTATCTCTGGGTGTAGACATAAAAAGGTCATGTTGAAATACTTTTGTTACGAAAATACCTTACTCCACTAGGTTTGATATTACTGTGATGGTCTTGTGCTTTTGGTATGGTGAAGGAGTACGGCTTATTGAACGATCTGTTGTTCTGATACATTGATCTATCAGAATTCCCAAAAGTGGCTTCTTCCAGTAAGAACCCGTAGTTACTGAAGAAGGTGAAAGTTTTTTTACGGTCTGTTTCAGGCAACAAATCTGAAAGCTGATTATTCAATCCTTTCCTTCAACTTTTGCTGAAGCCAGTACCAGAAACGCATTCGAGAGAAAAGGGAGATCTTAACATATGATCTTTCACATCTTGTAAACCAGTGTCGGCCATAGCTGCACTTTGCCGAAAGAGATGATAGAAATTACCTGTACATGCCATTTGATCAAGAGATTTAGTTTGTAGACATTGCAAAAATGTCCTTTACACACTGAATAGCACTGTCAATATTAAACTTGTCACCTTGTAAATCAGATAAAAGATTACAAAGTGCTTGTTTTATGTAATTGTTGATAATTAGCCCCATCCAAGCTGCATGTTGACCTTGATATGCCATCTTTTCTAAAGATCGTAAGGGTTGAGAACATAAAGACTGAAATTTAGAACACTTACTACCATATTTCTTAACTAGTAATTTCTCAATCATATTATCTAGTGATGGAACTTCAGATTGGCTACTAACAGGAAAAGTTGAACGATAACTTTCTTTGTAAGCTGTGAGTTTGGAGCTGTGAATTAATCTTATACTTTAATTTGAGTACTGTCCAAAACTGTACCACTACTATTAGAATCTGTTGTAGTCACAACATCTTCCCCAAACATTTCCGCCAAAACAGTGGCTGTATGTTTACTGTTCTTAGTAAACCGGTCAGGTACATGCTTATTATCATCCAAATTCAAGCTCTTGTTGGAACTAACACTAATAACAGAGTGTGAATCATCCCAATAGTCTTGTAAACCACGTTTGTCATGCTGTCCATGTTGTAAAGTCAAAACATCATATTGTCTTTTTAGATCTGATACGTTTCCTTCTTAACAGAATGGTACATTGGTAATATGGGTTTACACTCCCCAGGAGGGATGTTTTCCCGATTTTGAGCATCCGGTTTTTGCCCGACCAAAGTCGCAGTTTCCGAAGCTTGAGCAGGCTTAGATTTGAATAATTATTGTAAGTTTTCTAATTTCGTGTCAATGGAATTCATTTTACCTTGAAAAGCAGAAAATTCAAGACTCAAAATGTCTTGAGTCCTTCTTGCTTGCACGAGGTGTTCGTTTCTTCAACGAAGTTTCGGCATGAGAAACACCCGAAGTACGGGAAGAAATAGACTTATTATTGTCTTCTACATCCGACATAACGATAAAATAACTAAATAACAATAAAAAAACAACTAAAAAATCTACTCCAAAAGGAGAAAACTCCGGAAACAAACACAGAGAAAACGCATGCGGTGATATTGAGCGCCGCCTTTCCTTGTTGATCTTGTTTATCATATTTTTTGACGTTTTACTAACAGGAAATAAACTGAAGTATTGGGGTTTACAATGTTTGTCTAAGAGAAACAGATATATAGTCACCGCAAGACGCTTACATTTTTAATAACCGGTTTGTTGACTTCAAACGGAAATATATCCTAATGTAGTTTCCATCAGGTGAGTATAAATCATGAAATGAAATCCTGCATACACGGGATTCATACATAATACTTAAAGGTTAGACTTTCTTGACCACTGAATCAAAGAAATTGCTTTCCTGACGCAGTTGAAAGTGTGTTTTTGCACTCAAACGAAACACTAGAAATTTAATTTATGAAGTTTTATTTCTCCTATTGAACACAGCTCAGTGTAAAATTAAACCATAGGGTATAAAAGGTCTGATCATAATACAAGGATCATTCAATAAGTTATGTCACTGATAGCTAAAGTTTTCTGTAGTTGTAACATTTATGTATTTTTAAACGTTTCATTACATTTGGACGAGACGCTTAATAGCTAAATTTAATAGTTTGTTTCATATCGTTTGCGTGTAAAAAGACCGAGTTATTTCAATTCGAAATACATGCAGTCATTAACACTGACCAAGTCATTGACCATAAAAATTTTTT